TTTTTTTTTAAATTGTTCACATTATATGTTTTTCTATACAATAAACAAAGATTTGTATTTAGCAAATAGACTTGCTCTGTCTTGTGTCCAATGAACAAAAAGTCACAGTGGGGGGTGCAAGCTGGGGAGGCACTCCCGAAAGAGTGTGTATTTGCAGCTGGACTATGGACATTTTACCCTTTGGCCGGGTGAGTGCATAAACCAATCATCTCTCCTCCCACTGATACCAGCCAATAGTTCTCGGGCAAGCAGCCCTTCTGAGAAAGGGAACAGAGTGAGCAATCTTATTAAAGAAGAGCCTCAAAATAGCAGATTCCTTCAATACTCCAGTGTTTCCAACGGTATTTGGAAGAAAACAACTCTATTGCTGCCAAACTGCTCAAAATCAAGTAAGAACACGTTTAACTGAATAACTATTTCAGGTTTGATCAGCTTAATTAAGTATTTCAGTGACTATTACCTTTGCATGCTGATCAACAGGGCTAAAAGAAACTGAATCAAGTGAAATATCAAAATAAGTCTAGGCGCTACCTGCATAACAGATACTCTTCTCCCTTGTTGTGCATGGCACAGGTAGATATTGAGAGGGCATGAGGACCCAAGAGAACTGAGTTGGAAGATGGAATACCACTGAGGAGGAACCCTACACAAGATACAAGCACAGCGTTTATAAAGTTTGATACAGAAAATCTATTTGATATTTATTAAACTTAGTTTCTCCAGTTACAGTTTTGCATTGTACAAAGCATTTTAATGACACAGTAGTTAAAAAGATCTTTACAAATTGAAATGTGATACCCTTTTCTCCAAATATTTTAATTGCCATAAATTTGTTTAAAAATACACATTAAACGCATGTTTCAGACACTAAACTTTCTATAATCTCAATACCACAAAATACATAGAATATACTATACAGATGTGGAAAAATCTAGTTAGTATATAATACTTTGCTCACCATTAACAGTTTTATTACGTGAAATGCACATACTGACTTAGAAATCCTAATTTTGAGCCTCAAAGTACCCTTTGAAATTTCAAATGTATTGCAACAAATAAAATCACAGTTTTTTTATGTTTTTGTAAGTTTTGGTTGAAGACCGATGCCTAGAAACAAAATGTAAGACATGGACTTGTCATGTACAAAGCATAGGATAGAGACATCCCGTCATTAACAGTACCTTTCTGCATGATTAACAAGGGCTTTGAAGTGATAGGTTAAAAGTTACCTTCCCCTGCCCTAACCAACCCTCCTCAAAAGAAAACACAACCCTTCTTCACCAAATAATAATAATTTCAAATAAGATAAAGGATCTTTAATAAATATATAAGCACTTTATCCTCCATATACAAAATTTCTTCAAACCATTTAAAAGGGGGGACAAGATACAAACGTCAGTAACTGTGCTTGAAAAAGTCATGTCTGGTCCTTGTAGTTGAACTTTCAGATATTTAATGCCAATGCAGCCAACAAATATGGGCTACAATACTTGTGTATGTAACTGCATGATTTCCTAAGGTTATATCTAAAAAATTCAAGACTGGGAACATTTCATTCCAATTTGCCAGTATGGACTCCATTAATAAATATAGAGTAATATCAATTGGAACGGTTGCATTTCTGTTAAGTTTCCAGATGTAATTAAAGCAGGTAAAAAAAGTTTATATGAGGATAGCCTATATAAACTATCCTGGAGCAGCACTTCAAACTGCTCAACATAGTGTATTTAATTTAATCTCAGCTGAATATTGGAATAGAGAAAGAGCTAATGCTGTCATTCTCAAAGACTGTTCTATGAACTGGCCAGGCTCATTGCTCTAGCATCCTCACAATGAGACAAGAATATAGTTTTATTTTTATAGCTACCCCTGCTCTTTCCTCCTAACACTGCTATGTTTAAATGGCATCACAGGTAAAACTCCTTCAAAAATAATGCGATTTGACAACATGATTCTTTATGTACTTCCATCTCCAGGAAATCAGTCCTCTTAGAATAGTCTGTGTTTGTCTAACAGAGTTGGCTAGCAAAAGCTTTGGCTACTCTTTGTTTAAAGATATCTAAGATTAGCTTTGTTGTTGGAAATATACAGCTTTCCATAATACTGATTCACTAGACCTAAAGTAATTCAATCCTCGACCTAAATATTTATGAAATATTTGTTAGGGCACTAACCAATGATTTGGAAGTTACTTGCTCCCCAATGGGTAAATTAATTCAAACTTGACTTGCTCAGGCCCTTTTGTAACTGTTTTAATATAAACGCTGCAATGACAGTAAATTTTTCTGCTAGGTAAATGAAATATTAAATAAAGCAAAGGTAGTCTCTTTTCTACTAGTTTGGCAAACTACACAGTTGCATGCCTAAGGATTTATTTCACTTGCCCCAGGCAAGTACGAAATTATATTCATAAAGTACTGACTCTCTATATGTTGGGTCATTCATAAATACATTTTAGGGTGTGTTTTTTAATCACAGCAATCAAGCCTCAGCAATCTAAAAGAATATACATTGCACTCCTGTATAATATCAAGATTCCTCACCAGTAAGATGGTGATTCAGCACTCAGTTTAATAAATAATATATCAATATAATCAGTTGCACTATAATCTAAAAACAAGTATAACATATACTTTGGACAGACTGAGTTCATATATATATATACACATACATACACACACACACACGTGTATATATACACATACATATATATACACATACATACACACACACACACACACACAAATACAAATTGCATACTGCTGTCAAAAGACGAAAAAAAAAGAGCCATCCAATGTGCTCTGTTTTACGGCCAATATTTCAAATCAAAATAAATCATGGGCTATTTTGTTCTGGTGTCCTGAAGGCTCATTTACAATTATAAATGATGCAACTTGTCATTTCGGAACCTGAAAATTTGACAGCAAATTCAAAATAATGTTCATGTCTGAGCAAGCCTAGTCTGATTATTAAGCCTTTTTTTATTTAAAAAAAAAAAAAAAGGTTCACCACTGGGGGGGAGGGAAGAATGTGGAGGGATGAATAAAAACTACAACACTGATATGTGTTAAAATATAATCATATAGGGAACCCTTAGTACCAGGAGTTAAGGATTCCGTCATGGTAAGACACTAGTGCAACTTGCATTAGCGCTCAAATGACATGTATTTCCCACATTGCTGGTTAAAGGTTAAAAAAGGACAGGTTTTGTTAGCCTGCGTTTTGGCAGCGAGATGGACGCTTATGAACTATTTTCATTTTGGTTTAGCTACTCTATCAGGCAAAATAAAATTCTCTCCCTGAAGCAATGGGTAAATCCCAAGTTAGATATGCTTTTGGAATTGTCAAACTGAGTTTAATCCGTTTGAAATGGCCTAAGTCGAGAGAGGAGTGAGTTTGTTTTTAACAAGACCATTGCATATGTCTTACATAGATAAAAAACCTGGGACAATATTCCAGAAGAATTTCACCAGAACGTATACTATTTAGGCAGGACTCTCTGTCAGTTCAGGTCCCCATTTTGACAGACTGTAAAGAATCTTCTAGATTTTTTAGACAAACATTTAGAATCCATTGGTCTGGAGCTAAGGGATACACTAAATTGGTCTCTTGAAAAACGTACCACCAAAAGATACTGGTGAGACTCTAGTTAAGAAAAAACAATATTCCCAGAGATGAGACCATTCCTGCTTACAGCAATGGTAACGGTGCACATAACGGAGCAAGCTAGAAACAGCCATGCTGGCTACTGTAGCTCTATACAAAAAAAATAAAATACAAACAATGCAGCTTCTAAGAAGGTATTTTTATATAGAGTCAAAAGTGTGCTAGGCACTTTAGAGTATTACAAAGGAAAAATAGTTGACAGTGTCCCATTAACCAAAATGCAGAGTTTGAGAGTAGAGAAAGTTCCATCTCTAATAGCGAACACAGAGAAACTAACTTACATAGTGATTCAAATAAAAAGGGTGCTCAAACAGACCTGAATGTAGGCTGAAGTATAATGGGGAAAGTCATAGGTTGACTAACTTTCTCCATTTGCATGTAGCAAACTTTTCTGGAAGTACAAATAATGTTGGAACACAAAGGAAGCTCTACGAATATGCAGCTACAGTTTAGTGAAGTTACTAATTTGCAAAACTTCTTAACTCTTAAAGCCCGTAGGACATACTGCAGTACTAAGTAGCGTAGAATTCTATTCCTTCTTTTGAGGTTGCCATCATTTTGGCACTTAACTACAACTACACACAAATTTAGTGCAATAATTTTCCTGAACATGCACGTTCACATCTGGTACAGAATAAGGGGGGGCAATGGGAGATAAAAACAAAGCAGCATTCCACAATATCACTCTAATGGGTTCAGAGTTTGACTCTTTAAAAGGAGACCACTGTAACAGGAAGTCAGTTTCTATGACACACACTAGGACTGATGAAAAAGAAATGGAATTTTACCAAAAGTACTGCAGAAGACCAACTCCATACAGTATACATGGTCCTGCTGTAAAACTTCATCTTGTAAACAGTTCATAAAATCTTCATCTAAAAGTAAGGCATAAGGCACACCAGACATGATAGGGGCATTAAGCAATATTGAAAGGAATATAATTTTTAACCTTTTACTCAGACAATAACCTTATGTGGAAAGGTACTTTGGATTACAACTTCTTAAAAGCAGCCACTTGGAACTCAATGCAGGATTCTTGTTGCACCAACATACTTCTAAAGTGAATATTCTGCTCCCCTAAAACATCTAACATTAACGGGGGCCTCCATTAACATGGGGGTAAACAGAAGTTTTAAATAAATTCTACATCAGAACAGTTTCACATCACTGTGAAAGATGTGATCTGCACCCCACAATGGCCATTATCACGTGATAGTGTCCATCAATTAGCAGACCCAAAAGGAAAAGATGGATCTTAAATCACTTTTTAGGATTTTTGGTTTCCCAGTCAATGGAAAAGATACAAACAGTTCTAATAGGAATTATTCATCTGTTCAACTGTTAAGTTGGCTGCTTCAGTAAGCGTCAAATAATGACAAACAAGGAGACAAAACCTATTTTAAACGAAGAGATATAAAAAAAGCACAAGATTGTCCATTTATGAAACGTTTCCAGTATGCACCTATCAGAGACTGAAGCTCATTCTCACACCACTTCCATATTGCATTAAATGCAAGTTTACTGTAATGTTTTGTGATTGCTATAGTGTTAACCAAGTGTTCTGAAATGGTCTTGAAAAAACAACCCAAGTTAGACATAACTAAATATCTTTCCATATACATCTCTTATATTTTCATTTAAATGAAATATCTTAATGTGTAGAAGAATATCTCTGGAACTTCTTAAAATTTAGTACAAATTCTGTAATAAAACTGTACTTATTTAAGATTTGAGTCATAGGCATTAGGCATGAAAAACTTGTGTCCCTACACTTTAGAACCTATCAACCCTTATTTTGTTTTACAAGCTCTACCACCACAAGACATTACAGAGTAACAAGCTCACGCAGTACTTAAATAAAGTGTCTACATTTAATCTCTGCTAAGTACTTGATAGGGTAAGTTTATAGGAAGAAATAGCTAAGTCTTAAAAGAGCCCATAACTGGGCTTTGTAAAAATTTTTAAAAACAAATGAAAATAAATAGGATTTAAAACTGATTAGTTATGTATTATTGACTGGAATTCCAATCCCACTACAGAGCAGTGAAGCCATATCTTAATATGTAGCCGATTTTAAAATATTTAAATAACTTAAAAATGAGAATACTGAAGAAGTCCATTAACATGATGTGGTTTGGGGTTAAACACACAGAAGAGGATGGGAGACGTGAAAGCATTCCTTGCTTTTAGTGTCAACTAAGCAATGTGTTATGGCAGTCTTCCTTATTGACATGACACAGTGTTGTGGAGAAAATCAGAGGCAGCAAGAAAAGTGTGTTCTACTTTTGATTCCTTCAGTTCAAGATATCACTTAGCATCCAGACGCAACCAATGTAATCCCTGTCGGGTGTAACGCACTAGGTCTGTCATGATGCTCGAATTAAAGATCAGAGGGCCCATAACTTTATCCAGTTCAGCAAAGAACTCTAGAATGACACAAGAAAACAAATCAAACTATTTACATACACTCTCACATTGACTTCCCTCTGGAGAATGTGGTACTGAGGAGGAATCCACTTATGACATACTAACAAATATTACACATCTCTCACAGATGACACCAGAGGAGAGAGAAGAAGAGGTGGAAGGAGGTGAAAATGGTACAGGGATAAAAGACAATTTCCAAGAGAAACCTAAACATTTTTGCAAGAAGATGATTGATAGGAACAAGTGGAAAAGGGTTTGCACTGAAGTTAAACACTCTCAGAAGTGGTGAGTTCCCTCTCAAAGAAATTTGCATATTCATTAAATAAATTTTTAGAAATGGAAATCTGAGTCCATCATTGTAAACTATAAGTTATATCAAGTCCCAAAAATTATATCTGGCTATATTGCGCCAGTGTGAGGCTTATTTATACATTCAGAATCAAGATCATAGGAGCAGTCTGAGATGTTACTGAAAATCTAATGCAATAATTATCCATCTTTCCCTACAGCAAAACACCAACTGACAAAACATACCTGGTGTACTATTAGTGGATTCTCTCAATGTGAAAGAGCTATTAGCATTTATGGCATAATTCAACACATTTGATTTTACAATCAGATTCTGCCAAGTCTTACCTCTTTGCTCTTTAGAAAGCTGTTCAGCTTGGTCCCAAATTTCAGTGGCATAGAGAAAGTTGGATGTAACCTGGACATAGCTGGCTGCCATCTGGTGGATTCTCTGTGGAATAGTCACAGAAGAACTGCTCCCTGAAGGGTTGGTTGCCCCCGAAGAGTAATTTCCTGAATTTCCTGGAGACAGCTTCGGAGAGACCGGAGATGGCATACCAACAGGTTTGCTAGTTTAAAAAAAAAAAAAAAACACGCATGATTTTTAAAATACAAAATGTCAAAATATGTATGTATTCTGACACATCAAGCTGCATAATTTATTAATCTGGAATTATAATAGTTTGTACTTCTATAGGGCCCTTCCATCTTAGGATCTCTCTTTACTTACATTTAAGTAAAGAAGCCAACAAGTTTAAGTGACTTGCCCAAGGTCACATGAAGTGTGCCTCAGAGCTGGGAACAGCATCCAAGGCTTCGAGTTCTGTGGTTTAACCTTATGACCAAACTTCCTCACCATTTAATTTAATCGTTTTTAAAGAGGAATGTTTATTAAATGTAAGTTTTAAGGAATACACTTAAAAGAAACCTCTGAACAAAATCAGAACCACATGAAAGGGCTATATTGCCATACATGTTGAAATTTCTCAATCTATTACAAATCTGAAAATCTAAATTTTAGTAGGTTACTTCAGATTTATAAGTTCTCTGACTACACAGAACAGATAAATACATCAAAATACTACTCCGAGGGTTTAAACAGTACAAGTAAATTGCTCCCTATGTTTTCCCATGGAGTTGTTGTGTTTTGAATATATTGTTGCAAGCTCAAATGGTTCCAGGCATTTTAGGAAGTCTATTGTCCTCTTAATGCTGGGGGGGGGAGGGGGGTGAAATGTATCTGAACAGAACCCATTGAAATTAGAGTTATGTATTAATTGCACACAGGAGGGCATAGATCTCTACTGCAGTAAGGAGTTATTTAAAATCATGCTTGGAGTGTTTTCAAGGACAGCAGTATTTTAAAACATTTATCTGAACAATTAAATCAACACATTTAACGGTTCATCAGACACATAGCTGAAGCCTGGATCCTTGCAACAGTACAACTGGCTAATGAGACTTCAGATAAAATTATATAACATGAGTAAACAGTGACTTTATAAACCTTACATAGACACTTTATTGTACATAAATTAAGATATAGGAAATATCTAGCTAGTTTAATAATCAATCATTGAATTCAGCTCCTGCAGATTATTTGATTCCATTCCCTCTCCCCCACAAGATTTAAAATGTCTAAATCAAGAAGGAAAGTAGTTAAATGTACAAGTTACAAAGCTGCTTACCTTCCCATGCCAGGTGACGGTGCTTGAGAGTTATTATAGGAATTCTGTTTGGGAAAAATAAGTTTGTGGGGTGATTTCCAAGGGTATGTTAATTGCTTATTAAAACAAGTTTTACAAATGGATACATTTCTTTGTGATAACCAAAAGTCTGAACCAGTATGGGAGAATCAAAGCACTTTAAATTTGGACAAAATATCCCATTTTACTGCTGACAAACTAAGGCACCAAGAATGTAAGTGATCTGTCTATGGTACATAGCAAGCCAGCAAAAGAACTGGGATTAGAACTCAGGTCTCCTAACTTAATTCCTTCCACTAACCACTAGACTCTATTACCTCTGGTGGCAAGTTTCATACTTTTTCCAATCTTCGCCTTCTAACAGCAATGTGAAAGCTGTTAACACTGGCATTGAGCAATTAGACTCTTTCCTCAAAAGCTAGAAATTATATTAGCATGCTCTTCTCCTCTATTTAAAGCTAGGATTTCCAAAGAAGCCTACAAGCTTCCAAATAAGATGCCTAATTCCTATTGGCTCCTTGGAAAATCCCAGCCTAAATTCAGATTAAGCAATCTCACCCGAGTTTTAAATGTCCTGACTGAGTACCTCATCTGAAACAACCTAGATTCAAATAAGTGAGTAAAAGGAGGATTTTTTTCAGCCTCTTGTAGTAGGTTTTCTCCGACAAGGTTTAAACCAGATCAGATTTAAAACAGATTTTTACTGAAAATTCTAGAAAGTCTCATGGGAGTATATGAAAGTTCAGGCAAGCTGGCTAAGAGCACTGCCTTTTGAACCTTGGTAAAGCTGTTAGATGAGCTAAAAACTATTTATTCAAACACCAACTTCTGCAAATGTTGGACAGCTGCAGTCATAAAATGTATCACTAGAAACAGAATTCCCTTAAGATCATACATGAAAGTGAAGGTTCAACTTTGTAATGTCTGCAGCCAGGAAGAGGTACTTTTTATCCTCTCTGAAATCTGCTGAATTGTTTATTCTTTAAAGCAAACAAAAGCTTGCTGAAATTATTATAAATGGGAAAGTATTATGCTAAGACCAGTAGGGTTATGACAACACTGTGGTCATGCTGCAGTAACAAAAAAAAAAAAATAGAGTTCTAAAACACTGAACATGAGTTTACTTTAAGAGCCACATTTCCAGATGGGGCATATCAAAGTACACGTGTTAGAGAAATCAGGAAAGTACCTTGGAATTTCCATATCTTTTTTTTAAAAGGACTCTCAGTAATATAGGACCTTTTTACCTTTAGATGTTCTGTCAGTGTTTTAGAGTATTTCAATGCACTCTCCTTCTTCAGTTTGAAAAGCCTTAGATATAACAGGGACTGGCATCGAAGACTAGGCAAAGAAAAATGGCAACACATTTACAATGAGTGTGTGCTTACATGGTTCAATAATGCATGGAAACAGCTAGCAGCTGTGTGTTTTTCAAACATACTCTCTGAGGTATGGAGTCGTAGTTTTGCCATCAATAGTAACAATGTTTAATTTGTCAGAGAAACGAAAGATAGTCTAAGCTTGAGCACAAGACTTTAGATACACAATCTTCATTGTCTTTACTTACATAACCAGAGTCCTGCTCACTGAGTTGAGAATACAACCCTAAATCATCGCCTAGACTAGCAAATAAATGAAAGAAATTTATTAAAAAATAAATGAAGCCCATTACACCAGGATGTGCTGATACAACATGCAGAGTCTGACATCACATTCCCCCCCCCCCCCCCCCCCCCACACACACCCCCAACACCAAACTGATTCCTGTCCACTCTGTACTCAGCAGCCTGAAGAATTTGGAATGTTAGGAAGGTGATTCTTTGACATATACCCCAAGCTGACTAATCAGTAGGTGGGCACAATGGGAAGATGTTTGGGCACCCCGTGTCTTCTGCTGCTGCTTCTTTCAACCCTAAGGGTCAGTATGCAGTTCAATGTCAAGGCCACCTTTGCAAGGCAGAGGCTCAAATCAGTGCTATAGCACCTCTATCTTTTAAGCAATAAATGTTGATATTCCTGTTTCCAGAAGAATCACACTAAATTATTTAATGCAACCACTATGGCTTTATGAAATAGTTAGCGTCTCAGAACAGATACAATGGCATAGAAATATACATTTAACTTGACAACAACACCGTCAATTTCTCATAACAGGAAAATTCCACAGCCACATAAGTGTGAGCATGAAAGCAGAGCTACAGACACTCTGATGCTGCAGCTTTAGTAACATAGTCTAACTCGACTCAAAAATTCACAAGCATATAATAAGTAGTCCAAAAACTGTCTGTTTTAACCATTAAGCTTGTCATAGCTATAGATCAGTCTTTTCATGTCACGCCCCCCAACCCAGAAGCCACAGTCGGGAGCAGGGCCATGGCTCCCGGGGACATGGGCAGGGGCAAGGTGACCGAGGCTGGGGCTGGAGCTACAGCTGGGCTGGGTGCCAGGAGCTGGGGCCGGGGCCAGGAGCGGAGCTGGAGCAGAGCTGGGCGGCACTCCCTCCCAGGGCGGCACTCCCTCCCAGGCCCCTGTTGGGGCTGGCCCGGACCCCGCTGTGCCACCCCAAGCGTTCCTCCGTGCCCTGCTAGGACAGCGCACCCAACAGTTTGGGGACCACTGCCATAGATGGACCAGACATCACAAGGAAATCAGACTCCCATCAAAAGCATTAGCTTACTGCTCACCTTTCATTAAGTTTATAAGTGAGAAACAAGAACAGATTCTTGGCACTATTCATATCACTTCAGTGGTAATGCTAAAACCTAAAAGTAAACTTTTTTTGTCCTAAATGTCTCCTTTTTATTCCCTCAATATTCAAATACACAGGAAGGTTAATAACACATGAAAGGGAGACGCTATGCTGGCTCTCACTACCTAAGGTAGTGGTCCCCAAACTTTTTACCTTGTGCCTTCCCTTACCCAGTCTGCATCCCCTCGGCCCCTGGAGCCGAAGCCAGGAGTGAGGCTCCGGCTCTGGGAGCCGGGGGGGGGGGACATGGATGGGGTAAAGGGGCCAAGGCTGGGGGCGGAGGTGGGAGTGGAGCTTTGGCCAGGGGTTATGGCCAGGAGCAGAGCTGGTTGGTGCTCCCTCTCCCCACCCCCCGTGGGGGCTGGCCTGGGCCGAGCTGTGCTCCACAGAATGTTCCTCCACGCCCCTCCCCCCCCTTCTAAGGTTCAATGAAAACCTCAAATACCTTGGAGCACTGAATTTACAATTCAGTTAAAAACTAAATAGTTAAAAATACCACTGTGCTTAACCTTTGGACATAGTGCATTCACTAATTTGGCTCAAGATGTTTTATTAAACTAAAATATACGTACCAAAGCACTGCTAGCCTTTTATCTGCAGCCGTAGCATCTGGTGCCAAATAATTTTTCAGTTTCATAGTGTATCTGCAAACAAAGACATCAAGTAAATGACAAATAAAATAACGCATTATGTTGTCATTTATCAGTTGCCATTTCTCATTTAATATTCTTTTAAGAAAACTATTAAGGCTTAGTTCCAACTGCCCTCATATTTTACCAGAGATCCATAGATGATTTACTCAAAAGTCTGGATGAGGAAAGTTTTGGAATGTTTTTTGTTTTTATATTACAATTTACACTAACAGTAAGACCCTTAGAGGAAAGGATTTAAAAGTCCTTTTAAAAAAGAACAACATTAAGTCTCAAAATATGGGTAAGGTGGGTAAATTTTTACAGATGAGAGATTGCAAGTGTTGGTGGCAAAATCAAGTATCGAATCTGGGCACCTGCTCCCAGTTCCCCGGGTCTGATCACTAGGCTTCACTTACTACTTGCTTTATAAAGCTTACTTGATTAATTCCACAGTTTCTGAATACATAGGGAACGGGGACTTGGATTCCTGAGCATTTTTCTCCAATGCATTCCCACATTCGATGAAAGACACTACAGCATCAAGATAGAAAACAGCTTTCTCAAACCTGTCAGACTGAAGAGAATGAAACTTTAAAAACAAAAAGAGAGAGAAGTGGGAGAGAATTACAGTACTAGAGAAGAGTACAGGTCCAGAAGAGTTAAACCAACCTAACATTATGTGCAACCACCAGATAGATGTTTTGGGTTCTACTTACCAATGCATCTGCATTGTGCTTTAACTTCTTTGCTTCTTGTAAATAATGATCGGCCGAGTACATCCTACAACATAAAAAAAGAAATTCTGAGTTTAATAAGATGAAAATTGAATCCCTTTCTGTGTGTCAAGCTTTGTAACTATGGGATCTTTTGACATTGCTTTTTCTTCCTTCCTTCAAGTTACAGCGCATATAATTTTTATCATATAGACCTTTAAACAGTTAAATTTAGTTACTTCGGTTACTTCCAACTATTGTTTTAAGACAGCTAAGAGTCACTGGATTTAGCCAACTTATTCCACATTCCCTAGCCAAACAAATCAGACATGTTAGCAGAGGTGTCAGCTATCTGACATGTGCTAGTGCAGAGTCCCCAGTCTGCAGATCACAAAGGATAGTATTAACCAGATGTGAAACTTTCAGAAGAAATCAAGACATGTTCAGATGGAGATTCCATTGCTATTTTTGAACTTAGGTCACGCAAGCTGATCTGTGATATATGGCTGCATGTCCTAAAGCAAGCTCCAAAGCAGGGGCGAGTAAACTTTTTGGCCTGAGAGCCACATCGGGTTTCAGAAATTGTATGGAGGGCCAGTTAGGGGAGGCTGTGCCTCCCCAAACAGCCAGGCATGGTCCAGCCCCCCCCCCCCTCCGACCCCCCCCCCTTCCCCCCCCCCCCCCCCCCCCCCCAGGACCCCTGCCCTATCCACACCCCCTTCTCCCTGTCCCCTGACTGCCCCATCCAACCGCTCCTCTCCTTCCTGACTGCCCCTCCCCCCCAGGACCCCAGCCCCATCCAACCACCCCTTCTCCCTGCCCACCCCCGGAACCCCCGCCCCCATTCAGTCCCCATGTTCCCCGCCCTCTGACCTCCTCCACCTCTATCCACACCCCCAAAACTCCCCTGCCCTCTATCCAACCCCCCTCCCCGTCCCCTTACCACGCTGCCTGGAGCGCCGGTGGCTGGCGGCGCGGCTGCACCAGGAGAGGCAGCCGCACCACCTGGCTGGAGCCAGCCACGCACAGCGCAGCACAGAGCACCGGGTCAGGCCAGGCTCTGCAGCTGCGCTACCCCAGGAGCTCGCAGCCCCGCTGCCCAGAGCATTGCACCCACAGCGCAGTGAGCTGAGACTGCAGGGGAGGGAGGGCAATGGGGGAGGGGCTGGAGCTAGCCTCCCAGGCCAGGAGCTCAGGGGCCGGGCAGAACGGTTCCGCGGGCCGTAGTTTGCCTACCTCTGCTCCAAGAGTAATTACAAGAGATCTTTAATTTTCTATTTTACTGTATTAAATGCTGTATTTACAAGGTCACTGTCTAAAATCTGAACAAGATTTTCCAAACATACAAATAGTTGAGTTAAACATTCCCCTATTTCACCACAATATGAAGTACTGGGCACATCCGATTTCATTTAAAGTCAGCATTTTATACAGTTCATTTAAAAGTGAATCATACCCTCCTTTCTTAGAGAGGCACTAGTTGACACTATAAAAGGAAAAAACTAATCTTTAAAAATCAGTTTACTGTAATCTAAAACCACAAATACTAAAATGTCTAATTATAATTATATGGTTACTGCATGGTGTCACTGCAGGGCATAGTCATAGGGTGCCCTAATTATGCATTTCCGTACCTTAATATATTTGGATTTCTTTTAAGTTTATTCTGAACTCTGAATTTCCTGGCTTTAACATATTTGGCTTGTGGATAACTACAACTTCCCTCTAACTACAGATATGTGCTCCGAACTTTAACTCCATCATAACTTGATTTTGTCTGGGAATACGTAGAAGAAAAGCAAACCACTCCCATAATCAGGTTGTTTTCATATGGTCCTTTATGCTGGCCCCTAGAAGCACTTAATCCAAAAAGCAGTAATTTTAAATCAACCTTGAAGTAGCTGATAAAACTAGAACTGAGCCCCTGTAGAGAACACCCAAGTATTTGCATGAAATATTTCATGAATGGATAATCTTGATGTGAATTTGGGAACATTTTTTACTGATTCACATTCTCCAAAATTTTTCATCTTTGATAACACAGGACCAAATGATTCCATGATCCCACTTTTGTGAATCAGCAATTCCAGAGGATCCTCTCCATGACTGAGAGCAGTCACTGACTCGGGAGTGGTGGTGGTGGAGCAGGGGGGGGGAGGAGGAGAAGGGGAGCCAACTCAGCCCAAAGAGGACAGGCAGGCAGACTGGTCTGGTGAGGTGTGAAGTGAGTCTGCAGAAAGGGAGACTAGTATTCTTAAAAACGGACATAGGACAATCACATACTGTCAGAATCCACTGCTTGCTTGTTTCAGGCCGAGTACGAACGTACAAAGGAGGCCATGGCTCCTGGTAGTGGCTGAGACGTCGGCCAAATTAGCGATACATGTGTCAGGCAGGCATACAATTACACAAACAGCATGCAGATCTCCACAGAATAATACTGTACATGCATGGCAAAGAACATCCCCTATACATAGGAAGCTACTATACATTTTACAAGTTACACACTGAAATTAGTGCCCTGTTTAGGGAAGAGGAAAGTAATGTGCCTGGCACCTCTCACTGCTCTCACCTGTCATCAAAAACAAGCTTTGCTCTTCGGGACTTTGAGCTGTCTGTAGCTGGGGTAGATGCAGAAGGGCAGTTCGATGAACTGTTTAGAACCTTTTCCTGAGAAGAAATAAATTGCCACAATTAGTAATTATAAAAGCAGTTAGAAATCTGTTTTAAAAAGAGATGATTGTTCATTGCTTAAGTTCCTCCTGGTAGTCTCACTCTTGTTAAATGCAAACTAAGTCAGTTTTGCAGCAGGTTAATTGCCATTCACATTTACTACTTACACATCATGACTTTCAAAGGCTTCTCTCCTCATTGGTGTTCCAACATATGCTGGGGGTGGAGCCAGACCGAGGATCAAGGAACCATAACCAGTTCCCTTACAAGTAGGGTGACCAGATGTCCCGATTTTATAGGGACAGTCACGATTTTTGGGCCTTTTTCTTATATAGGCTCCTATTACCCCCCCACCCCCTGTCCCGATTTTTCACATTTGCTGTCTGGTCACCCTACTTACAAGCCCATTCTCTGATGGGCCAAATGGATCTACGCTAGAATGAATCTGATAAAAGGTTTCCAGGCACAACTGAATTCTCCTCCTCAACTTAGTAATGGCTAACATTCATGTATTTTACTGTCCTCCTAGAAGAGGTGCTGCATGTATTTTTTGCTTTTCTATTCCTTTTAGAAGTATCAACTCTGTAGCATGATTTTTGCTTTAATATTTCAGAAGTGGAGTGATCATTCTATTTTTCAAGCATCCAAAATGTGCAAGGAGCCTTCACAAAGAGACATGGCTCCTACCCCCCAAAATCATACAACTTCAGCTCAACATGACATAGTAAGTGAGACACAAGGTGGGCAGGGTAATATCTTTTATTTGACCAACTTCTTGTTGGTGAAAGAAACTTGACTGCTTTAAAAAAACAAAAAACACAGCAATATATAATCTCCGTTCACCCACCACCAAAATGCAGCCACTTCAGAACAGAAATACAGCCAGCTGTACCAAATGTTCAGTGACACACGACAAGACTATACTAATTTAAAGACAGGAATTAAAACCAATTTAAACTATAAGGACATACTAATTACCCAAATAAAAAAAAATAAATGGCCAGACTTGGTTCAGCGCTAATGCAGAAGGGAAAAAAAAAAAAAAGGAGCCGGTGAATCTACAATATAATCCCCTGAGGGACCTACAGGCTCCTTGGAAGTCTCCCACACATGCACTGACTAGACCAACCCTGCCTGCCTTACAAAATCTGATGAAGTCAGCATCTGAGGTGGATGTCTGCAATCCTAGTTTAGATATTTCCCTTGTTTGCTATTCTTGACCACCACGTCATTTTTCTCAGTTCCTGTCTATTTGTTATTTCAATCTGCACACTTGGCTGTCATGATTAGTTCCTCTGACTTTGCTTCCAACATTTTCTCCAGACATTACTGAGGTTAGCAATAAGATTTACCAAGTACTGCAACATACCAATAACATCCCTAATGCCTCATTAGGCTTTGAGGTTCTGTTTGCTGCAGAGGCCTCAAGACAAGCTGGCACCAACACACTACAATGCAATCCAGACCTTGTGAATTATAGTCACATTTCACCTTTGAAATATTACGTTCTTGCCATCTGATAGTACAGCAGTCACTGAGAACAGCTTATCATACAGCTAGGTTTAATACCATGTTTTATCAGACATCCTCAGATGTTATGCACCACCCAATAGTATCCATTCATATAGGTGTGAGCAGGCAGAATCCCTAATTCCCTCTCCATACACACTCACCAGTGTAATGCCACAAGAACACATTTAGTCCGAACTTCCTCCCAAGCTATTAGTTTCTAGAGATTTTAATTTTCAAAATCTCCTGTCCCACCCCATTTTCTCCCCCGACTCAAACATAAAACCTCTTTATTCTCCTGATAGCAGCTAATTACATCCACCTGGTCTGGCAGCCAGGGCAAGTCAGCAGACTAGCTCTGTAGCCCTGGGAAGGGTCCTATCCTGAAACACACCCCAGGTGGGGGGAAGGGGAGGATTGAACCATCTTTTCCTTTATAGTCAGGATAGAAGTACAATCCGCTAAAATCACAAATGGCTCAATTATTTAATTGCATATAAAATAGTATCATATTGTTCTCCTATTTTACTTTTAGATAAACTGAAAAATGTCACTGGAATCAAATTAAATGATTAATAAGCAACCTCTATAGTTAGAAGAACACTAATCACATTTGTAAATTTAACATTAGTACCAACCTACCCCCAGGATACTACAATTCTAATGAATAGCTACTGAGTTGTTTTCCATTTACAGGCTTCCTTATGACCCAATTACTTGTGCACTACCACAGGGAGTAAACACCTTTAAAAACTAAATTACATTTAAGCTTAAAGTCAAAGCCTGACAAATTATTGCTTGGATTACACATTGACATGCCAGACTGCACACAGAGAAATGGTGAATATTAGAGGAAAGCATTTACAAATAAACTTCTTACCTTGACTTCCCTGGCATTGCTAGAAGCCTTCCCTTCTGTCTTTTTTTGTTTGGAAGATGAGTTACTTTTGCTGCTGCTACTCTCCTTATTACTGTTGCTGCTTGATTTTAAGGAAGAAGATTGACTGACTGTTCTCTTCCGGGACCCATGATCTTGTTTGGGATCTTTCTGAAGGACAGGGGCCACAGGAGAAGGGAGCAGATCCTTCTCTTTACCTGCACTTTGCTTTGAAGACCTGCATGAAATGAATAAGTACAGCTTATTTCTAGATACAGTAACAAGAATTATTTTGACCTAACATGACTGTATATGGGGATATTTATTTTTCACCTCATTTTTAATAACTGGCTTTTGGGTGAACCAGATTGGCCTTGTTTTTACCATTTGATCTGGTTCTGATTTGAAAAGGTAGCAGATTCTAGCCAGAAAACCACTTTTGTTTAATAAAACAAAAGAACCAAACATTTACAACCTGAAAAGTTAATGCCAATCCGTCTATAGCACTGTTAAGGTGGAGACTTTGTTCTGAATGTCTAGAACAAGAGATGGTATAGGCATGTATTCTATTTGCCCAAGCAAAAGGGAAAGCTACCCTTAATTCAGTCATCCAGTACATATGTATCACCTCCCCACCTTGACTGTTCAAGGACTACTGTTGGCAATCAATGGCAAGCCTCATGCTTGCTAACCCATCTTCCAGTTGGGAAGATAAGACATTTGGACAGCTATTTGCACAGTAATAAATTGCTCAAAGAAAAATTAAACACTTTTCATACTATTAATCTAAAGAACATTTGGTTCTTTGCTGACCGAAGACAAATATCAAAGAAAGAATAAATTTAACAGCCCCAGCAGAGGAATCTGCAAATCAGTTTTACAGAGGCTCTGAAAAATCTTAATATTCACAATTGAACACAATGAAACTGAGTGTTACCCTGTGGTATGCAGTATTATTGTACTGTGTTGGTCCCAGTATATCAGAGACACAAGGTGGGTGAGGTAATATCTTGTAATGGTCCAATCTAAGATATTACCTGACCTACCTTGTCTTTCTGTTACACTGTGGTAATTCAGAGTGGCCAAAACAAGTTTCTTCAGATTATTCATTACAGTGGAATATGTTGTCCAGTGCACAGATATATTTTTATTGTGTAATCTGAAGTAGCACATATTTTTAAGAAAAAGAAAATCCACAAAAATGAACAAACTTGCCCCTCATTAAAAGTACACTAGGAACCTTGCTAATTTGCACCCTAACTCACTGCAAAATTAATCGTATGTGTGGATAAGATTGGAAGGCTTATATTTTGCCAGTTGTAGGTTAGTTCTAATCTATGGTAATCACAAATATAAATGTGGCCAATTTTTAAAAAAAAATGTGGTGTATTTTTTAAAATGATCCAGTAGTTGAAGGATGGGAGTAGAAGTCAAGAGACCTGAGTTCTAATCTTGACTAATCACTGGCTTGCTGCATAACTTGGGGGGAAAAAAATTAAACCTGCAGTTTCCACATCTGCTGAATGGAGAATTAATCACCCATTTCACAAGGAGTGGATTAATGTGGTTAGGTGAAGTGCAGACTGACTAAGTCTTACATATGTTAGTGTTATGCAGCTCACCTATTTTTAAACACTGCCCTGTATTAAGGTAAAAATTAGGGAAAATTAGTTCCAGCAGGAAATAAACCCAGCCTATTCCAACCCCGTTATCAAAGGTAAATGACCTTTGAGCAAACTATTTTGTAATAATGAAGTAAAGTTGTTAAATAAACCAACCGTTCTTTGTTAGGAGTGAACCGTGTCCCAGTATGCCTGGTTCTCGGAAGTACCTGCATTCTGATTAGTTACCGTGAAAACCCCAAAGTGAAGGTAAAAGGGCAGAGTCTGAAGAGTGGGTGCACATGAAATCTTGCCCCATGAACAGTGAGCTGCAACTGATTTTTTCCTATGTAAGTGGTGGCAAGCAGATATTTAGGGGGAGATTTGTAAGTGCATATAGGGTGTTGGGTGCCAATCTTCCCCTTAGTGTATGCTAAGCCTTATAGACTTAAAAAACAGCCAATTTTCCCACTGCACTTACTCTCTATTGCTGGAGGCCTTGTGGCCTGATGAAGACTTTTCTTCCAGTTTAGTTTTCTTGCCTTCGCTGGCTCTGTTTTCATCATCATTCTGAATAAAGCAAGCACAAGAGAGCTATCAGGACAATGTTTGATATTTACAGGTTAACTGTCCCTCAATGTTTTACATTTGTCTAGACAATTTAGCAAACCTTTTACAACATATGGAACAGAAGCACTACAGCAGATCTGGAAATCATTCCCTGGTTGGATCTAGCCCATGCCTTAAGATAGTTGACCACAATGGAATTACTTATCCCAAACAGAAGGCAGTAGTATGTAGTGAATGTCAAATGATCTACCAGTAGAACCAGGAGTGAAATGTGGCTGCTGAAATTACTGAACTACTTAAAATGTGATAGCCTAATTTATTCCAGCCAGATTTTTGTTAAAACAATCTACCCTTCATTATGCTGATATATGAAGGTCTCCCAATAAGAGTAGGAAATTAATTTTGATTTTGCCAGACGATAGGGGATTAAAAAAAGCACTTTTAAAAAACGCTTCATTCAACATTTGTCAATATTACTTTTGATAAGAGTTGATGCTTTATAAAATAGTGGACTGTAAAAATCAAAAGGTTTTGAAAGTGAATTTCAAAACTGCCTACACACTTTCATTAATCTTCAAATCTATCATAAGCAGTAGCAACAGAAAAACAAGTGTAAAATAATAATTCTAATGAGCAACTCAGCTCGAGATTAGAGTCCAATTAATAAATCTTACTGTAATGCAATGCAGTAATAGAATGCTCTTTGGCTACGGAACTGCTACAACCCAGCACCCAAAGATCAACAAAAGATGTAAGCAACTGACATTTGTCAGCAGTTGGATTTCTAAAGTGATTATTGCAGAATTTCTCACACAGCCTGTCTCAGTATTTTGGGGTAGGCCTGAAAAATAGTTTGCCTCTCCCACTTGCCTCAGAAACATACTCAAGTCCACCATGACTGCACCACTAGGCATAGGTCTCAGGACTTTGAAGATGATTAGTGAAATGATTCTTTGGGATACAGCCCAAGTTTAATTGGTCTCCCCAAAACCTTCTGTTCCAGATGTAGGAGCACAGCTCTTTATGCTGGTTTCTGTCCATAACAGCCACCATTTTTGTTATATTGTTTTGCAAGGAACAACTGGCCAAATAAGAGGGGGGGCATTAGGTTTGAAGCTACTAGAGACTGAGTGCATTCAAGTGAGTGCTAGAACTTGTATAGTAGTGCTATACAAACACCAAACAACATCATCCTTGTAAGGTAGGTATTATCCCCATTTTTCAGATAAGAAACCTTTCCACCTTACTTTCATTACTTGATGCAGGGCAAAGAGGTAATCTGAGCTGGAATAAGAATGGAGGAATCCATTTGTTTTCAGTCTCATGTCAAGTTCACCAGACCATACTGCTTCTCACTCCAAGAGTGACTGGAGATCAGTTCTTGGTTGCTCAGCAGGGAAGCTGGCACAGTTGAAGGCAACTGTTTGGAAGGGAGCTTGCAGCAGCATTTATACCACCAGTGCTCCTTTGATATTGTGGCGAATTGGGAGATATCTGCATTATTCTTACATTATGTTTGACTGTGTTTCCTTATTCAATTTTCTATTGCTGCCCACTTGAATTCAAAGAGCTGAGTCAGACCAAAGATAAGACAGAAAACTGCCAGGTACACGCCTTCAGAGCAGTTAAGAGAACAATGGGGCTATTGTTGGTATATGCTAAATATCAAGAGGCCCTGACTTGTTAAAAGATACCCCTGGCAGAAAGGTGGTGTAAGTGATCGCTTGTCCTGAGGCTGACACACAGAACTGGAAGAGAGGTTGGAGCAGGCACATTCCTTAAGCAGGGCCTAGGCCAGCAGCAGTTAAGAATATGTCTACACTGTAGATGGGAGTAAGCTTCCCAAGCCTGGGCAGAAAGACTCATGCTAGCTCAACTCGAACTAGCATGCTAAAAATAGAAGCAAGGATGTTATAGCTGTGGCCAGGAGTGGTGGAAATGCCCTAAAAGTGTGGGGGGAAGGAGGAGGCAAAGACGCCCTCTGGGACTCCGTGAGGAGGGAGGGTAACAGAGTCAAGGCTCCAGCCTGAGCTTGAACGTCTACACCATAGTTAAACAGCCCCATAGCCTGAGCCCTGCGAGCCTGAATCAGCAGACACAGGCCAGCCACTGGTGTTTAACTGCAGTGTAGACATACCCTTATGGCTCCAAATCAGGGCTTCTCATGGATGATTTCACAGAACTGCAGGAGTCACACATGGATGAAAACGCAATAGATCATTCAGTCCACTCTTCTACCAAGCATCCCTGCATTTTCCTAATAATCGAAAACATTACCAGGCAAAGGCCAGCATAATAGAGATTTTGGCAATCTGCTGATTGAAACATTAGTGCCAGTGCTGGTGTCACTAAGAAAAGGTTATTTACCCAAGATCCCACAACAAGAGTCAATTTCCCAGCACAAATTTCATCATGACAATGGGAGTTACAATGCCTACCAAGCTCTCACACAACACCAGTTCTCCCCCACCTGCCCCGAAAGCCCAAGGAACCCTGAAGCCTAGACAGATTCCCTTCAAAAGAAACAGTACCACTTCTTAATTGGCCAGAGGAGTCCCTAAGACTGAGCACTCTCTTTCTTTGCCACTGGGCTATCCATCTCACCTCAGTAGGAAGCCATCAAGAGATTGAGACTAGATAAGTTTTCAATTGATCACTTACCTTATGTTTCCTTTTGCCCTTGGTGGAATTTTTGTCTGAGGCTGTTTTTTGGGACTCTCTTGTATGCTTCTCTGGCACATTTTTCTTCTCCACTTTGGGTGGGTCTGTGTCCTTGTAAGGCTTCCCTGGTATTCTTGATAAGAGGCTCAGATCGATCTTCACAATAAGTGGATACCGTTCATCTGGATCACTGAGTGGTGAAAGAAGTTCCTTCTCTTCCATAGGAGAGAACATTCTTTGCCGAAAAAAGCTGTCATCCTCCTCCATGGAAGACTTAACAGGAGTCCTATTGCTCTCAGAGTATTTGGGGGTTTGTGATGAAGGAGGCAGGCTCTCGTTTTCATCAGAATCAGATGATGAGGTATCTGTTTCTATGAATTCCCTGGATTTCTGGGAAGGTTTGCTTGAAGCCTTATATTTCTTTTTCTCTGCTGTAGGCCGAGGGGAAGATTTGGGCTCCTTCTTTATGTTGGGTTTTCTAGAGCCCTTTGTGGCTGCCTTATGCCTGTTTGAGGGCATATTTGTTGCAATGTCTACTGGGGTTTCGCTTTCTATTTTAAGCCCTCCTCTGGGCTCTTCAATAGCTGTCTTGTCTGCCTTCTTGGGCTGCTTTTTACCAACAGTCCTCCTCTGTATTGTGCTATCACTCTGTGCAGGTGACTTCTGCCTGCCACGACTGCTTTCCGATCCTTTTTGGGTGGTTTTGGAATCTCGCCCAGGAGTGGAGGAAATGGATTCTTTAGACCCACTTTGATCCGTATACCCATTCCCGGAACTCTGATCTCGGCCATCTTTTTTGTAGCCTTGTGAAGATGGGATATTACTGTCCACAGAAGAAGCTGGTGACACTTTATGCGGATTCACTTTGTTCAACCAGTTGTCAAGTTGCCATTTGTTTGTTGGTGGTGGCTCAGGCTAAAAAAAGAGGGAGGAGTATTAAACACTATATATTTTCTTCCCCCGTTTCCCTCCAAGGGCTGCAATATTGTGCTGTACACCAAGGTAACAGCTATGCAGAAAGCTGATGGTGCTAATGAACCAAGTATAATGTGTTGGAATACAGTGTAAAAGCCACAGCTCTTATACCTTCACTGTGGAGAGGCTGATTACACAGAGCAGTGACAAATGATTGCTGGCAGAGGATGAGAGAAGCCACAGCGGATGCTGTTGGCCCAAGCACAGCATCATGGTGTGACCCAAAACGTCGTGCCATATCACAGTTACATCAATGACTAAATGGAAGTTAGTGCATACCATGCTTTAAGTTACTTTTTCCATTGTTGTAGTATTAATGTATGAACATGTCCGTTTCCCAAGCTTTCAGAGCCAAGTGGCATGAAGTACATGTCAAAGTCAAGTGCTAAATGTGTTTGTTTTTTTAAACAGTTCATTTAGCATATCTGATAAACTGCTGCTGAAAATCATTCCAAAATGTTTGTCAATTTTACGCTTTATTTAGCATCTTCTCAAACTATCGCTCTGTTCTTAACTGTCAAGATTGATGCAAAGATCATGGTACTCAGGGATTATTGTAGATTGATATCTGGTTTGAGTTATAATCCAAGCTTACCTCTGGAGATGCACTCTGGGATGGCTCATTAGCCTCACTGTCACTGGAACTACTTTCACTTTCAGAGTCAGATCCAGAACTGCTTTCAGATCCACTATGGCTGCTTGAGTCATCCCTGGAATTATCTGCTCCTTCACTATTATGCTGTGAAGGTTCAGAATTACTGGGGAAAGACAAACAAGTAAAATAATCAAGACTATGTAAGACATACAAGTTTCACATAAACAGGTTCTGACTTAATTATCTAACAGAAAATTCTACATAATTGAGTACAGCAAATAGACTGGGAAAGGATAATTACTTATATAAACAATTACTGCTTTATTTTTCAAGCTGTTAAGTATCTACTTGTTGGAGGAGAAAAGCTGTTTGACCAATGATCAAGTTCTAATCACTTCCTGGGTTAGCACAAGCCACAAGTCTACAGTGTCAGACATGGATTTTTAGAGCAGTGAGATCAAATTAGGAAAACTCATCTGCTCAAGTGTTGTTACTTCATTTGCCGTGAACTGCTAAAAATCAGCTATGAATGCCTACCTTCCAGGTGTACTCCTTGGCACTATCTTATCAGAATCCTGTAATTAAAAAAAATAAATAAAACCAGGGTGAGGAAGAAGCCTCCATAAATTATATTATGTATTGTGTACTGCATGGCGACGAAAACAAAAACAGAGCTCTAATACTCCTTCCTCATCACCACCAACAAACATACTTAGCATATATAGCATCTCTCATCTGAATACATTGGAATAGTTTACAAAATTGCATATTATCCTCAGAGAGGGAAACAGATTAAATTTGGCCAAGTTCACACAGCAAACAAATGGCAAATTCAAAGAGTCCTACATATCCTACTATGGTTTTGAGAGTTCCAATTCCTCTCTACTCATCACCCTGCGTCATTCATCTTTCTGTGTGAGGACTGGTCACAACTTGGGTCTATCAGTGTTATTCCTCAATTGCCCAAGGCCCTGATGTTCAGCAACGGAAGGCCCTATTCCCGTGCTCAATGGCTTATCAGCATTATCATGAATGAATGAATGAATGAATGAATGAATCAAGAAAGACTGGGATTGGAAACTAAAACAGAAAATGAACCTGGGATACTAAATGGCAGTGCAGACAACCATCATCATCTAGGTTCCTGAAAGGGCTATTTTTAGAATTATCTAAGATCAGTGCCAAAGATAGGACAATTTGTATTACAGAGAGTTAATATCAACTAAGGGAGCATCAATTTTCCCAACTAGAGTGACGATGCAACTGTAGAAGTAGTAACAGAAAAAGGAAATTTGGTGGGAGTGTTCACATACATTAGACACAACCACCAATCCCAATCCTGAGTTAATGGTGTGTGGAAAAATTTATGACACATTATTTTGAAGATGTGCTGTCCTTAAATGGCAGGCCACCACATGTGAGGGGGGAGGGAGGGGAGAGGAACCAATCCTGAAAAAGTCTCCTTGTCACTAAGAGTTTATACTTCTTGAGTACATTCTGTTCCATTTTATGTTGAGGAAAAGGCAATATGAAATTGCTACACAGTGAGATTTGGAAGTCTAAAGGCAAAACTGGAAGCAAGGACTCCCACAAATAGTGATTATATATTCCAAAAAGTAGTTATACTGTACTGTTACAAAGTTACTTTGAAAAATCTTGCTTTTAAATTAATGCTTACTGACAAATGTTCAATTTGCAACCAGCCAAGCACTGCATGTTTTTAAAATAGAAACTTAGTATTGAACACTTCAGTTGTGTCTGCTGAACTTTTCTAAAACTTTAGTACTTATGGTATATACCTGTTCACCATCACTGTCTTCACTGCTGCTGAGTTTTAAGTCATCTTTCAACATACTGAGTGAAAGAAAGAAAGAGGAATAAATTTTTCATATACTCTAGAAATGAATTCCAAAGTGGTGTTAGGCTATAAACTGATCTAAAATGTTACTAGGAATTTTCCTTTGTTTACAGAGTTCATTGCATGTGGGAGTACACAAAACTCAATACTAAAATGTTGAATGCTTAAGTACAAGAATCCCTTATACAAAAATATTGTGCATCACATTTTAGTGTGAAAGGAGAAGCGACCACTTATAGGATTGTCTTCTTGCATGCAAATGATTAAGAGTATTGTTTAAACAGAATTAAGGAGGCTAGAGAGTGACACTTAGAATTCTGTCATATTTTATTTCACTGCTGTCACAAAAGCTATGTTTCAATATACATATCTATATCTATTTCACAATCCTAGCATAATGTCTGAATACTGGAAAGACATACATTCATTAAGGTTTTTGTTATCTTTTGTTTTATTTTCGCAATTAAAGGTTTTAGTGTATATAAAAAACAGTATCTTACTCTGTTTGGTTTGATTCACATCTGGAGGAAGAAAATGAGAAAGTTAAAAAATAAGTTTCCCACGCAGGTACTTTCACAGTATGGCTGTTTTAATGAAATTCCTAACATTGTAACATCTTGGGTCTAATCCCCAATATATCTTTTCCCCCCCAAAAAGGTCATTTAATGTTTGTCTCCCCAAAAGAACAAGTTTACTGACTACACAAAGTGCAATCTTGCCCTATCATTTTATTTAAGACAGTATAAATTCATCGCAATAAACTCTCAAGCTCTCACCCACACCTGAATCTAATGGGGGTTTCCAGCAGTTGTCCACAGATCTCCTCAGATTCCCTCAGTTGCAGAAATTGCTCCAATTCCCCCATAGGTGATTTGCACCCACCAAAAATACCAGCCCCAACCATAAGTATAGCATTGCTGAAATATTGCTATGACAAAAGAGCAAAGGCCGGAGCGCCGCCAGCTTTTCTGCCGCCCTAGGTGGCGGAAGGTCCCGCCGCCGAAATACCGCTGCAGTCGCCACCCCCCAAATTGTAGCGCCCTAGGCGACCGCCTAGGTGACCTAATGGGTTGCGCTGGCCCTGAGCAAAGGAAAAATGAAGGGTGTAATCCTTCTGTTACTGTCTCTAACACTTAGTGTGGGTAAGCATCTTTTTAAAAAGTGACTGCGTAAAGAGGCTGTGTTCAAAGTCATATCTAGTCACAGAGACAACAGGTTTTTCAGAGGGGTAGAGGGTTACTGATTTTTTACTCCTGTTAGCACTGTGAAGCCTGGACAAGCTTGGGAGAAAAATGGGTTCTATTTCTGCCTACACAGTAAAAGAACTGCTAACTGAAGACTTTGCAACTGAATTTGTATAACTGAGGGCAAAACTTGTTTTGCAGAAAGTTATTTATTGGAGATGATGCATAAGCAAGAACAAACCCAGGTCAACTCTAAGATCTCAGCTTTGCAGGACTGGTAGATAAATGCATATTTGTAAACTGGTCAAATTTGACATGGTTGTCACAGTAATAGAACCCCACAATTTTTTTTTAAACTAACTTTTCTGGACATAAATGCATTTTAATTACATATACTACTCCTGGGAGAATTCTGCGCCCCTGCGCAATGCAGAATTTTGCAGAAATTAACGTTGTGCATACAGAATTTCCTTTCCCCCACAGAAATGGGCTGCAGTGCTGCTAGTTGCCACTAGGGTCTGCTGGACCTGGCAGAGCCCAGCCCACACACAGAAGACACTGTGGGAGTGGCGGGGGGAAGGAGAGAAGAGAAGAGGGCTAGAGGGTTCCTGGCAGCTGCAGTTGCCAGCTAGCTCTGAGGGAAGGAGATGGCAGTGCACAGGAAAGAAACCTGGGACCAAGCATCAGGCTGTTTCTCCCTCTGGATCCCTAGGCTCTGGAGAGGGTGGGGGGGATCCCACAGCTGGGCTCTGGGGAGCAGAGGTTGTAGGTATCTGAGCAAGGGGTGCCCTGCAACTGGGCTCTAGGGGAACAGGGGGTTCAGATGTATTGGCTGGGGAGGCCCCCCCGTGGCTGGGTTCGGGGAGGGGAGGAAGAGGGCGGAGAAACAGGAACTGGGTTGTCATAGGGGTTTCTTTAACTCTCTACTTCTGGGGGAATTTGTGTGTGTCTGTGTTGTTACAGGCATACTTGCTGACAGGTATTTTGAAATAAGTTATCAAAATAATTGGAACTGCAGTGATTATGTAGTATTATTTTGACAAATACAATGTGCAGAATTTTAAAATATTGTGCACAGAATTTTTAATTCTTTGGCGCAGAATGCCCCCAGGAGTAATATACAGACAGCCACTAAAAACTTACTTTGGTGGACATATTTGCATTTTCTAGGAACAATTAACCTTTGAGCACCAGGTGTCAAATTTTCTCCCAACTTGCTCATTATAAAGAATAAAGTCACCAAAATTTATGAGAAAAAAAAAAACACTAATCAAAAAGCTTCTAGTTACACTGTGGTTTTTTTTTTTATGGTTGTGTAGCAGACAGATGAAGTGTAATGTTTGGTCTATAGGTACTTTAATATAGTTTGCCACATTTGTATCAACATCTGTATGATAAATGTTTGGTATTCAAGCAGAAGACAGGGCCCCAAATTTAAGCTTCCTTAAGCATATTCCATACTGTATCCTCTGATTACAGAATATCAGAGCTCCCCAAACCATTTTTGTAACGGTTAGCACAGGGATCTCAAACTCAAATGACCACGAAGGCCACATGAGAACTAGTACATTGGCCCAAGGGCCGCATCACTGATACACACCCCTACCGCTGCCTCTGGCCCCGGCCCCGCCCCCATTCCATGAGGCACCGCCCCTGCCCAACCTCTCCCCACCCCCATTCCAACCCCTTCCCCAAAGTCCCCACCCCAACTCCGCCCCCTTCCTGCCCCTATTCCAACCCCTTCCCCAAATCCCCGCCCCCTACCCGGTGCGCACGGCTCCCCGGTCCTCCCCCTCCCTCCTAGAAAGCGCTAAGCGCTGCCAAATAGCTGTTTGCCAGCAGGAAGCACCTAGAGGTAGGCAGAGCAGCGGGGACGCGGCACACCGGGGGGGAGGGCGTGGCAGGTGAGGGAAGCTTGGCGACCGCAGCAAATAACTCCACAGGCCACGTGTTTGAGACCCCTGTGTTAGCAGCTGAAAGTAGATCATAACTTCACAACCCAGGTAACTGGATTTCTCTGCAACCATGAACATTTATTTTAAAAGGTCCCTCTACCCTACCTGCCCTCCTCATTCTTGTCAAAGTACTGAAACAAAGAAATCCCAAGAATAGAAATCTTCTTTAAATATCCTGCTAGCGTACAACAACAAAAAGAGAGCAGAAAAAGCAATGTGCATACATGTGCCCTTGTGAACCAGCAGTTGGTGACATAAAATTTGAGACTATCTTGGAAAGTGTCCTTTTCACATGGGCTTGGGTAGCCATTTTCTGGTAATCAACAAGAATTAAGATTCTACATAAGAAAAGACAGTTACCTTTTCTGTAACTGGTGTTCTTTGAGATGTGTTGCTCATGTCCATTCCATATCAGGTGTGTGTGCTCACCACATGCACTGGTGCTGGATGATTTTCCCTTAGTGGTATCTGTAGGGGACCGGCTCTGGCGCCCTCTGGAGTGGTGCCCACGTAGCACGGTATAAGGGGCTCCATCGGCTCCCCCCACCCTCAGTTCCTTCTTGCCAGAAACTCCAACAGTGGGGAAGGAGGGCGGGTTGTGGAATGGACATGAGCAACACATCTCGAAGAACACCAGTTACGGAAAAGGTAACTGTCTTTTCTTCTTCGAGTGCTTGCTCATGTCCATTCCATATTAGGTGACTCCAAAGCAGTACCCCTGGAGGTGGGTAGGAGTTCACGGACATGTAGATTGCAACACAGCTCTGCTGAACCCAGCGTCGTCCCTGGCCTGCTGAGTGCTGGCATAATGAGCCGTGAACAGAGGACCACATTGCAGCTCTACAGATGTCCTGGATAGGGATATGTGCCAGGAAAGCCGCCGAAGACGCCTGAGCTCTCATTGAGTGGGCTCTGACAATCAGCAGTGGAACCTCCGCCAGGTCATAACAGGTCCTTATGCATGAGGTGATCCAATTGGAAATCCTCTGCAAGGACACCGGAAGGCCTTTCATCCTGTCTGCCGTAGCAACGAAGAGCTGAGTTGATTTACGGAAAGGCTTGACACATTTTAAGTAAAAAGCCAAGGCCCTTCGGACGTCCAACGCGTGAAGACGCCTCTCTTCGCTGGTCCTGTGCGGTTTGGGACAGAACACCGGGAGGAAGATGTCCTGGTTCATATGGAAGGTTGATACCACCTTTGGCAGGAAGGCTGAGTTGGGCCACAGCTGAACCTGGTCTTTGTAGAAGACCTCAAACGCCATAAACGGTCAAGGCTTTAATTTCAGAGACCCGTCTCGCCAACATCACCGCCACCAGGAACACGACCTTCCAAGACAGGTGGGAAAAGGAGCAGGAACCCAGCGGATCAAAGGGCAGGCCGGTGAGCCTAGAAAGGATTAAGTTAAGATCCGACTGCGGGACAGGAGCCCATACCTGCAGGAAGAGTCTCTCGAGCCCTCTCAAGAATCTGATCATCATGTCATGGGAAAACACTGTCCTTGGATTGGCGAGCGAAAAGCAGAGATGGCCGCAAGATGCACTCTAATGGAAGAGTGTGCGAGGCCCTGGTTCCTCAAATGGAGCAGGTAGTCCAGGACAGCCTGTATGGAGGAACACGAGGGAGAGATGCCCCATTCGGATTCCCAACGGGAAAACCTCATCCACTTGGCAGGTAAGTCAGTCTAGTTGAAGGCTTGCTACTTTCCAGGAGGACCTGTTGGACTCCTTCTGAACAGGTCCGGTCCTCCGGGTTCAGCCACACAGCATCCACACCGAGAGGTGGATGGACTTGAGGTTGGGGTATAGGAGCCGACCATGATCCTGTGACAGCAAGTCTAGTTGATTGGGCAGGGGCCATGGAGGGCCTGCTGTCAGGCTCATAAGCATGCCGAACCAATGCTGGCAAGACCATGCTGGGGCGATCACAACAACCTGCGTTTTGTCTCTTGATCTTTGCCAGGACCCTGCTGATGAGTGGAATATAGGGAACGCGTACAACAGACTCCCTGACCATGACAGGAGAAAGGCATCGGAGAGGGAGCCTTTGCTCAGACCTTGCAAAGAACAAAACCAGTGACATTTCCTGTTCCGTCTGGTAGTGAACAGGTCCACTTGGGGAGTTCCCCACCTTTGGAAGATCATGCAGGCTACCTCTGGATGGAGCAACCACTCGTAGTGAGAGAAATCCCTGCTGAGGTGGTCCACCAATATATTCTTGATGCCAGGAAGGTGTCAAGCTTCCAGGTGGATCTCGTGGCTGATGCAGAAGTCCCATAGATAGAGTGCCTCTTGACAGAGAGCCAACGAGCATACTCCCCCTTGCCTGGTGATGTAGAACAGTGAGGCTGAGTTGTCCATCAGGACTCGGACCACTTTGCCCGACAGGTGGGGCAGGAAGACTCCGTACGCCAAACGGACTGCTTGGAACTCTGACATTTCTGTGCAACTTCGCCTCCTCCGGGGACCACATCCCGTGTCTGGAGGTCGCCGAGATGTGCACTCCAGCCGAGGTCCAAGGCGTCCAACACCAGCTCGATGGAGTGAGGGGGGTTGTCGAACGGAACCCCTTCCAGGACGGTCCTGTGGTCGGTCAACCATCGCAGCGAGGGAAGTATCGCCTGGGAAATAGTAACGATCTTTTCCAGGGGGTCCTGAGACTGGAAATAGACCATCCCCAGGCATTGTTGCAGAGCCAGGCATGGCGGACCACGTAAGCGCACGCTGCCATGTGGCCCAGCAGGCGCAGACAGGCACTGGCTATAGTCAGAGGGAACGTGGAGACTTCCGCAATGAGGTTCGTCGGTGCATGGAACCTGTCCCGTGGCAGGAACGCCCTGGCGCAGGTCAAGTCGAGGATCGCTCCAATGAACTCTATCCTCTGCACCGACACAAACGTCAACTTTTTGTCATTTATCAGAAGGCCCAGAGAGCGGCACGTGGCTTGAAGCACCACGACATCCCTTTGGGCTTGAGACCTGGAACTGCCCTTGACAAGCCAGTCATCAAGGTATGGGTAGATCTGGATACCCCGGCGCCTGAAGTAAGCCGCTACCACGGACCTGCACTTGGTAAACACTCTCGGTGCTATCGCCAGGTTGAACAGGAGGACCGCAAACTGGTAGTGGTGGGGTCCCACCGTAAACCAGAGGAAGCGTCTGTGTCCTTGAAAGATCACTATGTGGAAGTATGAATCCTTCAAGTCGAGGGTGACATACCAGTCTCCCGGATCCATGGAGGGGATAACAGAAGCCAGGGAGACCATGTGGAACTTTAGCTTCTTGTTGAGGTCTCGCAGGTCCAGGATGGGCCATAGACTGCCCTTGGCCTTTGGGATTAAAAAGTACCAGGAATAGAACCCCTTGTTCCTGTACTCAAGAGGAACTTATTCCACCACACCCAGCTGCAGCAACCCCTTTACCTCCTGCGCAAGGAGACTCTTGTGAGAGGGGTCCCTGAAGAGGGATGGTCAAGGCAGGTGGGAAAGGGGGGGTGGGAGAAGAAACAAACCGGAGAGTATAACCCTATTCCACTGTGCTGAGGACTCACTGGTCCAAGCAAGGAAGAAAAGGGAAAGGTGGTTGGTGTACACTGGGACAGATGGATCCGGGGAATAGTCTGGTAGGTCGCCCTCGGGCGCACCCTCAGAATGACCATTTGGCCCCTTGCTTGGCATGGGTTGAGCCCGACTGGGCAGAGGGTGGAGGTGGGTGGCTTGGATATCGCTTGTTGCCCTTGGCTTGTTTGTGGGGTTGGTCCTGCCGAGGCTGGCTCTCCTGGCCCTGAGGCTGCTGCAGTTTGAACCACTTACGCACCGGGGCTGGGATGTACAGATCCAGGGTTTTCAGGGTGGTGCGGGAGTCCTTGAGGCCATGCAACTAGCTGTTCGTTTGCTCCACAAATAGGGCTCAGCCGAAGGGCAAGTCCCGCATGGACAGCTGAGCCTCAGAGGACAACCCAGAGAGGAGCAGCCAGGAAGCTCGCCGCATGGAGACAGCGGAAGCCATGGTGCAGGCAGCAGCAGCAGCAGCGGAGTCCGATGCCACCTGGAGGGCTGCCCTGGCCACCGTCATGCCCTCATCGAGAATCGCTTAGACCTCTTGGAAGCCTTGGGGAGCGACCCTTCGAACATGGCCATGGCTTGACATATTGAAATCATACCGGCCAGGGAGGGCTTGGTGGTTGGCCACTCTCAGCTGAAGGCTGGAGAATGAATAAATCTTAAGTCCAAAGAGATCCAGCCTCCTCGAATCTTTATTTTTGGGGGTAGCCCTGGGTTGTCCTTGCCTCTCTTTGTGGTTAACCGCCTCTATCACAAGGGAGTTGGGGGCAGGGTGGGAGTACAAGTACTCATGCTTCTTCATTGGCTCAAAGTACTTGCGTTCGGCCCTCTTAGAGAGATGGGGGCCAAGGAAGAGAGGGTCTGTTACAAGGCATTAGTGATTTTGGAAACCCCTTCATGAAGGGGTAGGGCCACCCTGGCAGGAGCCGAGGAACAGAGGACATCAAAAGGATAGCTCCTCCAATTCCTCTGCCTGAAGCCCCAGGTTGGAAGCGACCCTCTTCAAAAGTTCCTGGTGTGCTTTGGTGTCATCCTGAGGAACTGGGTGACTGGGCCCTGTGATAGCCTTGTCTGGTAATGACGAGGACAATGCCAGTGCTGCAGGAACCTCCACGTCCATTGGTGGTCTAGCAGCTTGCTCCCCTGGGTACTCCTGAACCTGTGGGGTCTTACTCCTCGAAGCCTCGAGAACCAGAGGGGGAGGGGATACCAAGGCCCTGGCCTCTCCGAGGCTCCCAACACCAATCGGGCTGTCTGGGATGGTTGGGTGAACTCCCAAGGGTTCCACGGGTACCATGGCACCAGCACTGCGCTCGGGGCCATGGAACCGGTTTTGGTGCCGTCAATGCTGGCATCACCACAGGTACCAGGGTTTGTCCCGCAGTCAGGGAACATCGCTCCGTGCCGGAGCTGTAAGCAGAGCGGCAGTACCGGGCGACCAGGAACGGGCAGAGTGGTGACTCTTGTCCGAACCAGTGTCAGTTGCTGGGACCCGAAGCTGACCTGTCCGAGTGAGTCGGGTGTCTCGGTCAGGGTTTTGGAGACCGACTGTGTTTGATGTATCTGCGTCAGACACCCAGTGATCCATGCCTCGCTACTCGACCGGTACCAGGATGTTGAACGGGACTGGGAGCCACTATAGGCCGGCTGTCGGGAGGAACCTCCTGAGAAGGGCGATCTCCTCCTAGGAGATGGGCGATGATGACCAGGTGATCGGTCCAGTGATCGGTACCAGGCCCTTGGAGACGGTCGGGGCCAGTCCCAAAGATCTTGTTGAGTGGCATGTGCCCCAGAGGGTCTGCGTCAATCCACCGGCGAGGAACACCTCGAATCCCTTGATCAGTGCCCCCAGTGTGGGGACCAAAGGGGGGCGGGGGGGGGAATCTGCTGAGCCTGCCTCTCTAGTCTAAGGCATGACGGCTTCGCATGGGCGAGCGATGGCGGGACGTCACTTCTGATGGGGAACAGTGCTACTGAAGCAGGGACACATGCATAGGTCCTAAAGCAGGTTTTCCCCGAGACTGGGGTACTGCTGGAGCCGGAGTGGGCGGCACTAGTAGCATCAGAATTTCCTGAGCTGCTTGAAGGGCTTTGGGCATCGATGGCACCTGAAGCTGGTCATGGCCTGCACCGCTATCCGGAGTCGCAGGCAAAGTATGGGATGAGCTGCATTGCTTGACTTGAGTCTGAGCCGGACTTCCTGAAGGGGGTGTTGAGCTGCCCGGCATGGGTCGTGGCTCGGCTCCAGCCCTCTCTTTGTAGGAGATTGTCCCTTCACATTCTTCTTCGACTTCATGACCGGAGCCGTGGACGGCGCCAACGGAGCACTGCGCATGGAGGCCATGGTGCTTGGTGCGGAGTCGGACCGCTGCTCCAGTGCCGGAGTGAGTGCCGACTCCATTAGGAGCGCCCTTAGACGAGTTTTGCGCTCCTTCTTCATCCTAGGTTTAAAGGACTTGCAGATACGGCACCTGTCACTTATGTGCCCCTCGCCTCAGCACCTTAGACAGCTGGTATGCAGATCGCTGACGGGCATAGGCCGTTTATAGCAATCCCAGGGCTTAAAGCCTGGGGACGTGGGCATGTCCATTCCCCTGGCTGAGTCCCATTCGGGACTAATGACGAATTGAAAACAACTATTAAGGGTTTAACTAAGAAACTACTAACTATATACAAAACTATTTTACAGGTTTTCAAAGTTCGCAAGAAAGAACGAAAATGCTAGCTGAAGCAGCAGATTTTCCAGCACTGTCACTGGTAGCAAGGAGGAACTGAGGGTGGGGAGAGCCAGCAGTGCCCCTTATACCACGCCATGTGGGCGACGCTCCAGAGGGCACCAGAGCCAGTCCCCTACGGATAATGCTAAGGGAAAAAATTGCAGCACTGGTGCACGTGGCGAGCACACACACCTAATAGGGAATGGACATGAGCAAGCACTCGAAGAACTGTTATATCCACATTAAAGTGTGGAGAAATGGCTACAGTCATCTTAATGGGCCAAAATCCTTCAAAAACACTTCAGAAATAGTAGTTTGGGAAATATTGGAGAGGATGTTCTAATTTTTCCATAAGAGCAACTTACGATTTCGATTGATGGCCATTGGATGTTTTTGATGAGGGATTATATCTTTCTGGGGGGGAAAAGAAAAAAAAAAGAACACTCCTTAAAAATGAGCAGCAAAATAAGACGCTTCAAAGTTACAAGAAATAAAAATCCTAGATTAATTTGGAGGCAAGAATGGTTGAATGAATTTAGCACTTGAGGAATGGAGGGACTAACACAACTGGTTTAAGCCAGATACGATGCAAGCAGGTGTTATGCAAACTTCCCACACAGTTCCATCAATGCACCTCAACCCTGACATGCAATACACCCTTTCTATGCCTGCTTTATGGTTCTCTTAAGCAGAGCCAATCATGCTGAATTGTTCTATTTGCTTGGTGTAGTTATACATGATTTAGACTGGGACTAATAGAATTATTTCACTAATATCAGCTTACCTAGATTTGAACTAGAAGATCCAGAGTGAAAGGCTAGCACAGCAGGCAACTGCACCAACCAGAACAGTGAGGGTATGTCTACACAACAAAGAAAAACCTGCAGCTGGCCCGTTCCAACCAACTTGGGCCTGCAGCACTGTTTCCCACCCTGCAGAGTCCAAGAGCTTGGGCTTCAGCCTGAGCCTGGAAGTCTACACAGCAATGAAACAGCTCCGCAGCCCAAACCCCACAAGCCAAAGTCAGCAGGCACGGCCCAGACATGGGTTTTTCTTTGCTGTGTACACATACCCTGAATATACAAAACTGGACCAGATTTCAAGTGATTTATTTTTAAGACAGCAGTAAGTTTCATTTATTTTGAATGCTGTGAAAGAACAAATTGTTTTCCTTCTCTCTCGCAGTTAAAAACACTGTTCTGGAAAAATTGTACTGCTTTCTGCATGCAGAGACATGGAGTTACTCAGCCGGTAGCGTCATATTAACATTAGCTTCAGCATCAGACCTACTCAGCTCTGCAGTAGCGGAGTAAGGATCCCACCATTCTGACCAATCAAGGTAGGTCACTTTAAATTCCTAACTTCTGTCCAGGGCACCACAACGGAAGTCAAAATTGAAGTGGTCATAATTTGGTTTTCAATGAAATATTTAGGAGTTGAGAATCACTCCTAGCCTCTGATCAGGCTGGCTTCTCTCCATTTTACAGTGCATTTCTATATGAAGCATTTATAGATAGGCCCATATACCATAGCAATGGGTTTTCTAATTAAGTGTTTGAATTTATTTCCTTAATTCCTCTCTGTGTGTGTTCAGAGTAAGTGGCTTGTCAATATATAAGAATAAGCCTCTCTCTGCTTTTACTACTTAATCTGATTAATTATTTGGGGTATGAAGGGTAAAGCCTGATGGAAGTGAACAAGTGTGGGCTGTGTTTCAATCACACTAAATGCACTACCTGTAAATAATCCATTTGAGTAATTCTCGTGGAAAAGGAAAGACATTTCAACAAGAGCTTTGTTGCTTTTGTTCAAATTCTGAAAAGAGCTCTGGTAGCAGCGGAGAGTGAGCATATGCATAATCATACCCTGGAGTGCCTGATATTACCATATTCTCCATTTTGAATTATGCCCAATAAGGTGAGCATGGAGTGCCACAGCAAGGGGAAGCTACAGTGTGGATTGGCTACTGTCCCCAGCTATAAAACAAACCTTATGCTTTATTCTACTACACTCATTAATTTGCCTGCTGGACATCAGACTTTCAGAAACTGGGGTTCGAGTTTTCACATACAATTATCACTATGATTTTCAATCAGCTCTAAAGAGAAAGCATCTTTCGGAGGATTACAGTAATATGACTGGGTACAGCTAGGTATTTCCTCTAGAAGCCAGCAACCACAATGCAGTTTAATCATTACCTTTCAGATCATATAACAGGACTTGTAAAAGAAAGCCAATTATCTGTTTTATAAAGTAAGACTTGAAGAAAATATGGAAATGCTAACTTGGGGTTTTAACCTGTGTGACCTGTCTGGAAGATGTAGATTTAAAAAAAGCCAAGAATCCCAAGAGGCATTTGGGCCGTTAATCATATCATGAAAACATTTTATATAAATATTTTTTAAAATATATGAAACTACTTTAAATACTCACTCTGCTCTCCAGTGCCAAAAGTGGACTGTTGAGACTCCTAAGGGAATAAAAAGTTACATAAGATTATTTCAAAAGGGAGTTTTAACTAATGATGAAAGTAAAGACTGAGTCATACTGCCCCCTATTCTTTTAAATGACTGCAGTATATTAGGACTTAAGTAGAAGAGTGAAGCAAAAGCAAGGAATGAGGGTACTTGATTGTTCCTCTGGGCTCAAATTCCCTGCACCTATCCCAAAAGACATTCCAAGCCCAAGCACATGGTCTTAGCACAGGGACTTACTTCAGTAGGCCTGCCCATACTCCCCTCCTACACCAGCCCATCTGTTCCTCCAGTTACCCATGCAACTTGACACCTAATTCATGTACAATTATCTTAGCAGTGCTCACAAGTTAGACTCATTCACTTATGTAAATTATATACCCAAATTATATGGAAATCTAGCCATGAAAATCAAGCCATGTTCATTCTGGCTCTGACATCAGCAGTAGAGACCCTGGCACCAGAAGCTGATTAATTCCAGAAAATCCAGCTCTCCCCCACGCAGTAGTGCAAAGTCAATCCTGCTAAATGTAATTTAAAAAAACCAAAAGCTTGTTTTATAGTTCTTAAATAAACAGATCTGACTGAGTAGGTACAGGGAGCAGACTGCCGAATAAGAATGTCATATTTATATAGTCACCTCTTCTGACCATAACCTTGTTTTAAAGCAGTCCAGCTTTGGCCCTAAAAATATGAAATAGCTGAAAATACATGACTCAATTTGAAATGTATTACTTAGGAAATTGAATCTAGTATACTTCATTCAAATACTCTTTCACCAGTTTGCCAAGAAGAATCAAGTAATCTACCAATAGTGGGTTGTAGCTTCTATAATAAGCCTGTAAACTGATCTCCTATAGCAAGTGGCTCACTGAAGTGCTGCATGTACATAATGGTAGCTGTAAACATTCTGAACAAACAAGGGCTTTACACAACATATTCAGATGTTCTTAAAAATCTTTTACAGCTTTTCAATTTTTTATTGCAGATGGGTAAGTTGTTGAAGCAGTAATACATGAGGTTTTATTTCTTTGGAGTTCTTCACTGCAGCGTATAAAGCTCACTGTGCTCTGCTAAAGACTTCCCTCTTCCCAAAGATATCTTGTTTTATAGGTTTTATTTTAAAAATTGCTTCTTTAGTCAAAGAAAAAAAGAGTAAAAATTTAAATTGACTCAAAATGAAGCCCTGTAACATCTTCCCAGCTTCAATAGATAATTACCAGATAAACTTTGGAAACATGCAAAAGGTTAAAGCAATGACGTGTTTTTATATTTCACAGACATACTGAATGTCAGAATGATTATCTGCTATTTGGTTTCTTTTTGCCTCCATGGCCAAAAGTAGTCAGCAGGCCAAATGCGGTAGGCTATCATTCAAAATGGAAGACAGGATAGTGGGAAAATTATTGTGCTGCCTAATTTCAATAGCACTGGTAGACAGCTACCGTCCTGGGGTGGGCATACAAATAGCAATTTACATCTGTTTCTTCCTATGTACACCTTGTGACTGCTATAAAACAATGTCTGCGCAATTATCCATTGGTGTCACTTAAATGTTTTTAAGTCACACCATAGCATTCCCTGAGGGTGCGCTTTGATGAAGATATATTTTGTTTTAAATCCATTTTCCAATAATCTATTTTGGTTTTGAACACATTTCACTTTAAGAAACTCAGACAAGTAAAAGCACAAGCTTACAGCCACAAAGTTATTTCCAGCAGTATCATCTCCCAGGGGACTAATTAGGAAAGGACAAATGAGAAACAATGGAGAGGAAGGAGACCATATTAATCTAATGGGAGTAACAGCAGACAGACTGGTCAGGACAGGCAATGAAGAGATTTAAGCAGGAAGCAAACTGCACTTAGACATAAAAGGCAGAGAGAGGGAAGACTGGATATAATTGGGGAGAATGGTAATGCAGTACTTAGGTAGGTTGCCAACTTGGCTCTAGTCCAGGTAGCAGTGACTGAAAGTGGTTGCCATTTGATGGCTGTTGGGTTCTATTTGAAATGAGACCGTGGTCTCAATTCCACTTTCCATATTACTAACTTAACAGCAGCACAATCAACCCTAATCGATGCCATTGATGATACTCTCTGAGAGGTCAATGACCGAATAAACCTGGAAACAAAACTCCCCTTCCCTTCCTTAGCCATCCCTTCTCTAGGGCACAGCTGAGGTACTCCAGGGCAGAAGTTTACAATGCTGCTGTACTATTTGCTTTGTGGAGAGCAGACTTCAGTCTCAGACTCACAACTGAGCAACTTTCACCTGTACAAAAAACGCTTGGCTCTTAAGATGTTTGGGTGGTATGCGTTGATCTACGCGCACATATACAGACAGACATTTTATATACAATACCAATATTCTGCCTTTGGAGTCTGACAGTCATCTGCAGGAAATCTACGTGAGGCTGGAGCAGTAACCTCAAGCCTCAGACCATGGCTCAAACCAAATGACAGAGTATACAATTTTCAAAAGTGACTTAAGCATTTAGGGTCCTAAGCTCCATCAAAAATTTTACCCAGATTTCTTACAACAAAAGATCTACAAGGTAATCCTGTGAGGAAGCCAATTTCATGCAGCTTTGTTCTTGCTTAGGACCTGCTTTACCATTATTAAATATGTTAAGGTAATACCAATAGGCCCAATCAGGAATCTGGGACCATCATGCTAGGCACAATTCACATCAAACAGACAGTCCTTGCCCTAACAATCTAAGTTGACACATTAGACTACTGAAAAGTGCCTACGTTTGTAGTATATGGCATGCGAGACACACCAAGTGTTAGCACACAAGTAGAATGCTGTGAAACCTAGCAGCATATTACGTGTGAAGAAAGTACAGTTTCTGAAGAGATCAAGTCCTCTTAGGACAGTACAGCTTGATTAAAGTAAACCACTGTTCTGTTTTGTTTTCTACATTCCATTATGGTTTCAGGCTAAACAAACCCATGGCTCACTAACTTGCTGGAATTCTTGGAAAATATTCCTGTCAAGAATGACAAGGGCTACAACATGGTAGAGGAAATTATAGGCATTGGATCTGCAGAGAGTATTTAACAGAGTTCCTCATCTAAGATGCATAGTCATGGAATAAAAAAGTTGGCTAGAAGTCAGAAGACAAGGAGAAGCCATAAATGGAATTTTTTTGCAAGCTGGTTTAAGAAACACAATCCAGGTTGATAAAGGTCCAAAAATATGACCTATCTTTTTGTTCTTGTATGTCAGCAAGGCCAAGTAATCTAATATAGCTTCTTTCCCCCACCCCATACAAAAGATTCAATATATATGCTTACGAGGAAAGTCAAGTCAAAGGCCCACAAGCCAAACAATTCATAAACAACCCTACAATAACAAATAGGCACATGTTTGCAAGATAAGAGAAAAAACATTCTGTAAAGAAACAGATTTCTTCTTCAAGCATGTTGGGATTATTACATACTAGTTCTGAATATTATGAAACTTAACTTAGTTCTCTTAACAATAAAATATTTTAAGTATTACTGCTGGGTTGCCAATTTTGTATTACTCAGCAAATTAAGCTTGGATGAAATTAGTGTGTGCAAGATTTTTTGATCTATCATTACACTGATAAGATCAGTAAGTACCAAAAGGGAATAGATAATGAAATAATGAGACTTGTTTCTGGATTTGCATCAGGAAGTAAATCTAGGAATTGTTGTAGAATACTTTGTCAATTCTCAGCTCACAGGACAGCAGCAAACAAGAACGTACAGTTCAAAGGGGAAAGACAGGTACAGGGCTGTGCAGGTCCCCCATTCTGCTCTCTTCAGGGAGGATGGGTCTCTGTTTGTGGGTATGTATTGACAGCAGAGGCGTGGAGTGTCATGAGACCTGGCCAGAGCATTTTAGAGAACCATATTAGTAATTTTCACCACAGCTCAAGGCAGCTACATTAATCTTGGAGATTACATAGAGGACAGTGCTCCACTCCTCCCAGAAAAAAGCAAGTGATATAAGATGTTAAGAATGAAATAGATGAACATAGAAAAACAACTGACAAAAATAAACTTCAAGTGAAATATGCTTATAACTCAACTATTCTCTATCAGGGATCAAAATGGGTCATTCAGTGGGCTCTTACTTTCCTCTGGAGTCTGCCCACAATGCTCCAAAATCTCAGCTTTCATTACAAAAAATAAGTCTAGCACTTATGACTTTGAAGATTATTCAGTTAACATTATAAAGGTTATTTATGAAGTAACATTTGCTGAGCCTGTAAATGCTGAAACAGTGGCAAGGGAGGAACAGACTGCCCCAATCCATTTTCAGGGTGTGTTAACTCTGGAGCAGAATGATATTGCAATGTTCTTTCACTGTTGATCACACACGAGAAACAAGAGGGATAGATGTAAGATAGAGGGATGTAAGAGCTGCACTGTCTTCTTCTAGTGATGCCGTGCTAACAAACATACAATTGTTATTAGTGCGTGACAATTTCATTGACTCTCTTTAAAAATCAGTATTTGTAGTTCTACATTAATGATACCATGGGGTGAAGGGACGAAAAAGCCAACTGAGCAGAGTTAAGACTAAGTCAGGGGCGGGCAAACTTTTTGGCCTGAGGGCCGCATCGGGTTTCGGAAGGTGTATGGAGGGCCAGTTAGGGGAGGACCCCCATCCCTCCGCTTCTCGCCCTCTGACCCCCCTCCCCCACCTCCCAGGACTCCTGTCCCATCCAACCCACCCTGGTCCCTGACCGCCCCTGGAACCCCTGCCCCGACTGCCCCCCACCGCCCCATCCAACCCCTCCCTCCCTCCTTCCTGACTGGCCCCCCGGGACCTCTGCCCCCATGCAACCCCCCTGTTCCCCACCCTCTGACCACTCTGACCCCTATCCACACCCCCGCCCCCTGACCACCACCCCAAACTCCCCTGCCCCCTATCCAACCCCCCCCACCCCACTCCCTGCCCCCTTACCACGCTGCCTGGAGCACCGGTGGCGCTACAGCCACGCTGCGCAGCTCAGAGACCGGGTCAGGGCAGGCTCTGCAGCTGCGCTGCCCCAGGAGCTCACAGCCCCGCCGCCCAGAGCATTGCGCCGGCGGTGGGACGCGCTGAGGCTGCGGGGAAGGGGGAACAGCAGGGGAGGGGCTTGGCAGGAGGGTCCCGTGGGCTGGATGTGGCCCGCAGGCTGTAGTTTGCCCACCTCTGTTCTAAGTGCGTAACTGTGCATTTCCATACTTTATATGTCCGAATTTCTTATAAGCTTAACCATACCTTCGCATTCCCTGCATTTGTGATGCTTGACTTTGGGGATAATTACAGGATCCCTAGATGCTTTTAAGTTACTGACATGTATTCAACCTTAATGCCAATTTAATGTAGTTTTCATCTGGAAATTATCTTTTATTTTGTTTTTAATTAAATATGTTATACATAAATACTAAAAGAGAATGTTACTATGGGATATTTCCAATGATCTGAAGATATGTACTATCAACTTAAAAAAATAAGTTTTATTTTAAACTTTCAGGGCCAGATCTAGTGCATACCCCACTACAGACCAGCACAAAGCAGTCATAGTGTACTGTCCAGTTTCCCTTCTCCCTCTTGATCCTACCCACATTCTCATGCGCATTCACACACACCAGTTTTCCCTTCCTTCCTTTCCTACTGAACAGATCTGATGCAATGGGTACTTTTTGAAAAGAACCTTTTAAGATTAATGGTCATGACAACAAAGCTCTTCATAACAAAGTTTCTTCTTCAGCCCCTGCTGATGGAAAATAACATTATTTACAGAAAAATCAATGAAGAACTGCTCTTTCGAAATGGCTGTCATTTCCTATTGTTCTCAATGGGACTGAAGCCACAGCAGCCAGATACTGTCTCCCAATTTTGTTCCTTTCAGGAAGATACAGCAGTTGAGTGAATGCAGATGGGGAAAGAACAGAATTGTGCTCTTTACAGGGCTATCATGGGTACTGCTGTAAAGCCAGGATGGATTTTCAGACAAAGGGTTACCATGTATTCAAATAAACCCCAAATGACAATGCACAGTTGAATTTAACAACAAGAGCTTTAAAACCCTGCAGTGCAATTCTTGAACTTTAAAAGGAGTTTCTCTAGTTTTAATGTCACTCAATATTTAACTACTAAACAAATATAAAGTTAAGTTTGTCAGTCACTAACCTTAGTTGGAAAAGGAAATTTTGATGGCTCTGTTTTGCATGGTGTATGAATAGCAGTCAGAGGGGGAGGCCAAGAGTGGGTCATCTCCTGTAAACAAACCAAACAGCAAAAAGCCATTATACGTTAAGGTTAAAACACATCAAAATGTCAACTTTAAAAAGCTATACACACTTCTGTGTGAAATATTTTTACCTATAATCATTCGATGTAAAATCTAAGAATATTTACTTTAATATTATAGACTCATTTGTTTTTTTCTGTTTACTATATCCATTTGACAGCATTTTGAGTATGCAGTTCCATTCTCTGCCTACATAATGAACAAACTTTTGCAGAGAAATCTGAAAATTCTTTAAAAAAACATTTGTCCATGAAAATGGACACTAAAATACATTCAATAAAGAAAACACATAGAACTGATAAGCTGCTTTCTGTTCCTCCAAAACTTCTACCAGCAAGTTTAAAACAGGGATGTCAATGTGTGTCAATACTTTGTAAGAAGATCTAGGAAACTGAAGGGCACAACAGGTTTAAGGTTAACAGCCGTTGCAGCAGAAACTGGAATCCAAGTACTTCGCACATTGATGATTTTTAGGGAGTCAGATAATGTAAGTGGAGTTCTTGGGACACTGCTGATTTTCTCTCATGTGCAGGCAGGGCAAGTACTCCATTTCCCCACTTTAGCAGTGTTTGTTTATTTAATGAATAAAGTCAAGAACCGGAAGAACAGACAACTTACTTTTAGAATTTCATCCACACAGGTCACGTCACCAGATGCTGATGCCTATAAATCAAAGTTCAGGATTAACTATTATATTTATACCTCTTAAGGCTTCTCCCCCACACCCGTTAACACACCGGATTTGAAGTTACACTTGTTTGTGGCCCAAGTCCTGATGATATTCATCCAGAATCAGTGAGAGAAGTAGCACTGCTAGACTAAAGAACCAGCAATAGTTTTAGGATCGGATATCTCCCAAACTGCAGAAATCCTAGATTTCGTAGAGCACTGGCACACAGAAATGAAATATACTAAAAATCATGTTATTCTAATCCCTTACCTGTATTCCTCACTTAAATGTTAACATGATTTTAACAAGGCAGTGTCTTACAAACATCTGAAAGTTTGGCTTTATTTATTTTTTAAACTATAAGTTCATGAGGCAAGTCACTGGCCACTATCTGAACTCAAGTGATTGAAAAAGCAGAATGGTAACCCATAACATGACTTTAGATCTGTTCTCTCATGAACTGCATTATTAATTAGAGCATAATAAGGGCTACTTACAGTTTTGTACTTTAATAATTCCCTGTACCTCTGTCCTAATACATGTGGGGGGAGGGGGGAGAAGAGCTGCAATACTGTTTGTCTTAGTGTAAAATAAAAATTATGCATACATTTGTGAATACTTGGCATAGATGTCTTTCCTTATGCATGATTTTTAACCATGGCCATTATTTTTCTACATTTTATTTAGCCATTTATTTGCGATATCTAAAAGACTCCCAGCTATTGCTATTCAAGTGGCTAAGAGTAGATGCAATTGCATCTTTTTAAAATAATTTTAAACTACACTGATCCTCAACATGGCTGTGCAGATGCAGGCAACCTATACTCAACACTCCAAGAGTAGCTAAACCACTAAAATATGTTTAAGCTAAATATGCCCTATACAGAGAAAAAAATATTGCTTATATTCTGAAACCTATTACATTGTTTTTAGAAAACTGTAGTTATATTATGCACAATTACTACACTTCAAAAAGAGAATTTGGTTTATGCCACAATCGAACATAACCGAGAGTAAAATCCATTACATATGACTCATCAGAAAGAACCAGAGACCATAAAAGCTCCAACATGGTATGCAATTATGTAAAAACCATGACATGCACAATGGGGATGTAGAAGGAAATAAACAACATTCTCCTTAAAATACAAAAGAAAAATGTGTGACTTCCCACTGACAAACTACAAAAGTTGCTTCACTTTCCAATGGGAAGTCCTGTATTTTTATAGAAAGTTAACTGTAGCCATATAGGCTGGAATTTTAAATGGAGCCTATAGAAGTTAGGCACCCAACGCCCTTAAGCGCCTCTGAAAATCCCAGCCATTGATGCTGAAAAAAGATAAACCCCCCCAAAACTTAGTACCAACTTACATCTAGTGGTTGAGAAGGTATTTTAAGCTTGGTTAGATGTGCTTTGCTGCTAGGCTTCAGCTCACTCATGCTGTTGCTATGAGTTTGACTACTGTAGTGTTCAGAGGACAACTTTGGTTCCATAGACTCCTGTCCATCCATGGGCCTTACATAGGCAGTGGGCTTCTGCAACATTGAACTGGACTTGGACATTAGTGAAGGAGGAAAAGACTGGTTAGAGTGCTGTCCACTTGAAAATGAAGGTACACGGGAAGGTGAGTCCCAGTTGGCATCAGGATCCCGTGGAGATTTTGAGCGCTGATGTTCCTTGCTATGATGATCACTTCCATGAGACCTGGAATGGCTGGAGCTCAATGAAGAAACAGCAGGTGGTTTTCCAGGGCTGGAAGAACGGGATTTGGAGTGTTCTGATCCGTGCTGGCTTTTTTTGCGGCTGCTGCTACTACCACCATATGAGTCACGGTCATGCCTCTGGCCACTGCTGCTAGTGTTATTGCCACTGCTCCGCTGACTACTGTGTCCAGTTTGTAAACCTGAGGACCGTTTCTGCGATTGGGAGGAAGTGCTAGGTGCTGGTCCTACAGGAGTCCATTTGCTGCTCTGATGAGAGCTGGTACTGTGTCTCTGTTCACCAAAGAAACTTTGGTTTGATTTTTCATCTGGCGTTGATGGTACTGTTGGTTTGGGAATACCAACAAGCTTTTGTAGAGATCTGTCTCCTATAAGATCCTTCATTTCATCATAATTTCCAAGCATGCTCTGAATACGGTTAGACAATTGATCTTCTTTGCTGGTCTGTGCAAAGTATAACAGAAATATAAGATTAAAAATACATTTAAGAAGTATTTTTAAAATGAGATTCCTAAATCTAAGATATATACAACTTGGCTTAGGTAAGTTGACTTGACACAAAACTAGAGTAGTAAACCCAAAATTCAGAATTAAGAACTTAAGTTAGCATCCAAGTCTATTTTGTGTGCCATCCCAGTTTCGCCTCCTGTTCTTAATATTTTAATCCCTTTAAATTTAAATAAATAATTTATTAAGTTTAATACGTAAGTAGTAATAAATGGACTCTGCATACCAGTTCAGAGCAGGACGAGGCTGAGATTTTTCAGTGTTGTCAAACGGAGCTAGGCACTCAGCTCCCATTGGTGACTGAGAATCCCAATGAAAATTTCTAGAGAAGTACTAAGTTATTCTCCTAATTAATACACAAAGAACTATGTAGTTATTATTCCCTTCTGATTTCTAAAGCTAGTCATCTTATTTTTAACATTTCACTCATCCTTTTAAATTATTTTATCTTTACTCTCTCCCCCGTCTGTCTTCAAACTATACATATTTTATTCTTCAAGGCTGAAAATCCCACATAGTAACAGACCATTTGGCTGTGCACCACTAACAAGAAGCCTTCAGTGGGCTAATATAACTAATAACATATCCATAAAGCTTGATCAAGTTTAACATTAAATGCAGCTTCCTACTAACAAAATATGGTAGCTAGATTACAGATATTAGTTTATGAAATATCATAGACTGAGTGCAGGGGGGAAAATGTAATATTGTAATGGAAGAATCTTCCACACAAACCAAGAACTATCTATCAAAAGTAGACAAGACAACTGACTGGCCAGAGAGTCAAGGAAAAAATTTTGCCTAATGAGTTAGAAACGATTAGAGGTTGGCACAAACAAAACCAATCTTATCTATTAATACAAGGCCAGTTCAGCTGTTTTAAATAACGACTGTTCAACTGCCAGATAGATAAGATGGGCTATTATATGCATTTTCTATATTCAATGTCCCCTTCCACACAGTCCTCCAAATCCCTCACTGAGCCAAGATCTTTCCATATAGTTCCTGGCTTTAAATCTCACATTGCAGCCACCATTCTTTCAGCAGAGGATGGACTATGGCTGCCTGCCTCTAGACATTAACGACAGACATCCTTACTGGCACAGCAGGTACAGAGAAAAAAAATATGTATCAACTAGGCCACCCTGTAGAGGTCCATGCACACTTATTTTGATAGCTTGTGGGGAAATGGTCCAAAGTACACTGCTACCTCGATATAACGCTACCCGATATAACATGAATTCGGATATAAAGCGGTAAAGCAGTGCTCTGGGGGGGCAGGGCTGACACTCCGGTGGATCAAAGCAAGTTCAATATAAAGCGGTTTCACCTTTAACACGGTAAGATTTTTTGGCTCCCGAGGACAGCGTTATATCGAGGTAGAGGTGTAGTTTAAGGAAATAAGAAGCCAACAGTTAGAAAGAAAAATGTAATGGAAAGGTTTAAAGAGCCTTAATGCCACAGTTCCTTTTAAATTCTGCTATAATTCTATGGTAATACAAAATTATTTTTCCTTTAGCCATATGAACTAGGTAGGTGGTTCAGAAGAATGTTTTGTTCAAAGCCCTGAGCTATAATCACAAAATTCTCATAGAAGAGAGTTGTGGGGAAGTATTGCTGGCCACACAAAAATGGCACTGGCACTTTTAAGGAAAGAATCTAATTATTATTTATGCAGTTCTTACTTATGCACTTCTCAATTTGGAGAAGGAAAACGAACCATTTGTTTAACTAGTGTTTGTAGTCAGTTTCTAGTCAACTCCATTCATGCTCTAACACAATTTTGCGATATTCATTTGTGAACACAGCAGTGGACGTTTTGTTTAAGTATCTTTCCAGTAGAATTCTTTCTAGAACCTGGGCCAGAGTTGGGCTGTGTTTATCAAAGACATGAGTTCTATACAGTATAGCTTTAGGTTGGCGATGAACAATTGTACCAGTGATATTACTCCTGGGGGAATTCTGTGTCACTGCATGCGTGCAGAATTCATGTCCCCTGCAGATTTCTTTTCCTCCCTGCAGAAAAATGACTAACAGGGAAGCTGCAAGAGCAGTCATGCACCACTCCCTAGCTGCACAGATACATTGTTTCAGGCAACCGGAGCAGGCAGCAGAGAGGTAAATCACCGCAGGGCTGGGGATACCCCAGCCAGCGGTTCCTACACTGAGCTGGGATCAGCTGATAGTCTCAGCTGGGCTGGAAGCAGAAGAGGACGGGACTTTCTCTTCCCATGCAAGAAGTGGCTGGGGCTGTGTTAGACCCAACCCCAGCTGCAGGAAGCTCAGCATACTCCCCTGCTTCCTGCCCCCATCGCTGCTCAGCTGCAGGGGGAGAGGTCACTGTATGGGGAGCTGCTCCTGCATCCGCCCAACCCCCATGCATCCGGACCTCCCATACCCAGACACCCCCACCAAGCCTCACCCAGAACCCCCCTATCCTTTCATACCCAAACCCCACCACATTGAACCTCAACTCCTGCATCTGGAGCCTCCTGCACCCAAACCCCCTGCCTCCGGCTCCTACCCCTGCACCTAGACCACCCCCCACTGAGCTCCCTGCACTTAAACCCCCGCCACCATCTTGAGCCCACACATCCAGATCCCCATGCCACTGCCCCCCAATTAGCTGCACCTAGACCCCCTCCCCACCAAGCGCCACTCCCCCCACACCCAGATCCCTCCACTGAGCTCCAAGCACTTTCACCTGGAAGTCCCTGCAGAGTCCCCTTGCCCCTGCACCTGGAACCCCGCCAACGAGTCTCCATGCATCCAGATCCCCCCCACACCTAGGCCCTTTACTGAGTTGCCTCCACCCAGATTATCCCAGACAGAATCCTCTGACCCCACACCTGGATCTCCCCCCCAGAGCCCCTCCACACTTGGATCCTGCCTGGTTGAGCCTGCCTGCCCCACACCTGGTGCTCCTTGTGCAGAGGGGCAGGGCCCCAGGGTGTTTCTGGGGCAGGCCCAGGCCTTGTGCTGTGTCAAGGTCGGGTGCAGCCTCACCACCTAGTCCATGTCCCAGGAGTGGGGAGGCTGCAGGATGATCTCCCACTTTTATGCAACCAGTGGCCTGTGCTCCCCGCTGCCATGCTGGAGCCTCTGCATTTATTTATTGACAAATAAAACCTGCAGAATTTTAAAATATTGTACGCAAAATTTTTAATTTTTTGGCGCAGAATGCCCTCAGGAGGAGTATGGTATTAAGAACCTCAAATACTATCAGTAGACTAGATAGCAGGGGTTAAAAAAAAAAAAAAAGCAATCCCCGAACTAATCTTTCAGACTGAGGCTATTTCTCTAATAACCCTTAAATGATTTTTAAGGCCAGTCTGCCCTAAAAAGGTTACAGTGGTAGAATTATGTCAGTTAAGGGTGTGATTTTTGTTTTTACTGATACAGTTCTACTGGTCCAAGCCCTAACATGTGTAGTTATACCAATTCTGTTTACCAAACTGGAATAAGCACTTCTCTGCCAGTATAACTATGTCCATACTAGGAGACCACTTTAACTATAACAGTAACATTAAAGCAGCAAAACTTTCTAATACAGACAAGACCCAAGTCTCATCTCCTCACTTACCAGAGGAGGCTACATTGAAAGAATTTTTTTTTTTTTTTAAGGGTTCTTGAATAATAAAGAATTAAAATCATGGAGGTCATTATCTTACCCTTCGAAAATTAGTTTCTGCCTCAGGCACATATATATTGTTCGTCTATAGGTGTTGAGTGTGGCCTAAATAGATCCTTGGGAGAGAATCTAGTGTGGGTTTAAAGTCATGGGTAGAGACTTTAAATAGTTTGTAAAGAAAAGAAAAAAGTTACACCAAACCCTGAATTAAGCTCACAATAGTAAATGAATTTTAAGGAACCTGGCTATATTAAATGGTAAGAACCCCAGGCTATGAAGCAGTTTTGTATTTAAAATCAACCTGCTAGTCAAACTTCCTATTCCTGGGTTTACCTTTAGCTAGAGTACTGTGGATGAAGGTTAATATGCTAAACAGTAAGCTAAAAAAGCATTTAAAAAAAAAAAAAAAAAGCTAGCCACCATAACAGACTTGACCAACACTTGAAATGTTTTGGGTGGCTGGAACAATTTCAGAAGGAAACTGAAAAGTTAGCTGAAGTTTCATTATCCTTTTCAGCACATCCTTTCAAATAAAGCAGTGTCTTTATTCTTGAGTGATATTTTGAGCATCTATTAGTCCTGCTACCTAGTAGCCATCCATCCTCACTTTCAAGCCCTGCTTCTTATCACTGTCACAAGAACTGTGCACTAGAAAAAAAATCACGTAAAAAAGCCTAGAAATCAAATAATTAGAAATATGGCTTTTGCTACAAGGAACTGCATTTTTAATAATAGCATAAACTCACAACTTTATATGGTTCAGCAAAGAGAGGAGAGTTAGGTGGAAAGACTTCTTCGCCCTGTTGAATTTCTTGATTTCGCCTTTCCCTTTCTTTCATACGCAGCACATTCCGGTCTTCACGGTTCATGTTGCTATGAACAAAAACATAATTTCTGATCACAGAATGGAAGTGAGGGATGAAAGTGAACAAAGCTAGTTCCATTGTATGCAGTTTGCCAACAGAATGGTTCAATTGAAGAATCCCCTTATGACAGCAGGAGATATCCAAAATTGAAAAGAAGTTTTTAATTAAACAGCTGGCATCTGTATTTGCTATAACCTGCAGTCAGCAACTAGCTTATATCTGTAAAACTGGTAGAGCTTAGGCAATGATCAAAAATAGAAAAATTCACACAGAATCCATAGGTGAACGAACCCCTACTCCTCCAAACCATTTCACCTGCATAATTAATTTAAGTTAGAATAGGCTGGTTTAAAAAAAGTAGTATCCATTTGCCATTCACTGTTAAAAGCTTCCACCACTTTTTCCTTTTAATATCCCCTGACTGTTCCCCCATTCAGTATACAACCCCCACCCACACTCCATCCCTTCCCATGTCCAATGCTTGGCCTCTACTTTTGCTCTACCTTATTTTGCTTTGTTTTTGTCCCCAACACAGCTTCTTTGGTGTCCATCCTCTATCGTAGTTAGACCTCAGCTTTGCTCTTGTTTCTAGGTTCCCTAAAAAACGACATTTCTGCTCTAAATACATATTTCAGCAAACACCTCAGTCACAGCAATATTGCAGCCTCTCGTCCACTGTCCTGTCATACAGTCAGTAACTACTGATCAGTATGGGTTAAGAAACTGGAAATTTCTCTTTTTTAAGAAAAGTTTACTGAAATCTGACTTAGGAGATGTCTGCTTCAACTGACACACTGCTTTAATTATAAGCACTAAGGCCAAATTAAAAAAAAGGATGTCTAAAAAGTGTCTCTTTGAACTTGAGAAAGCATCAAGACAAAGTAATTCGGGAAACAAGACTATGAATAAGATGGCACTAGTAATGGTGTTTGTGTGTACTATTCTTCTGCAAAAGTCGTAAGTGTAAATCAACATTCAGTTATTTATGTAGCACCACATGTGCAAGGTGTTTTACACACAGAAGAAATTAGTGGTCTCTGAAAGATGCTACAGTCTAAATAAGATGAAACAAAATAAAAGGTTACATTAATTCAAGAGACCATTATTTGACTGTTTAGACAACTGCCCAATTATTTTCAAAATGTTTGCTGAAGTATTCTATTTGAAATCTACATGATAAAACAGTTACTCTATTCTAAATAAATGAGTAGTCATCTTCAATTTCTATTACTCAGCCTTTTAAATATTTACTTTAGCTTACTTTCACTGTAATTTTTCTCTCTGTATTTAGCTTCATTCTGATTGTCTCATACTCTAAGTTAGTATAATGAACTTTAAGAGATGCTGAAAAGTAGATTAGGGCCAAAATATAGTTTTAGCTTGATCAGTGGAAACATTCAATTTAAAAAGAAAATTGACAGACATGTTTTGGTTGTACTTAAGTATTTCCCAGCAGTGTCTACAATGCAAACACAATAAGAGAGCGTGTCCGTTCAGACCATGTCTTGATGGGCAAAAATGATATTTCTTAATTGTGTTAGCTTAACACCAGGCTACAAAAGTGTCAGCTAGAAAACCTCTGAATGTATTACTCTGCATCTTCAGGAATGTTAACATGAACAAAAAGCCCTGATAAAATGATTGAAAGCCATTCAGCTTATCTGTTCTTCAAGACTGAGCCCTATAAAAAACTTGCACCTGGAAAGTGAAACTGACTAGTTCACTTTGATTGTCCAAACTGACTGAACAGCAAAAAATAAACTAATTTTCTTAAAATGGTTACTAATTTAAGGTTTTTGTGATAAAGGAAAGATAAGGGATTCTTTAATTTAAAAAACACAATACACATGATACATGGAACCTGGAAAATTCATTTCAACTTGATCATGGATATAGAATTGAGAGATAAGATCCTTCTTTGGGCTAGTATCCTGTCTTCCTATAAAAAGTATTGAAACAAAAAGACATTATAGACAACACGAATTTAATTATACAGACTGTTCAGTTAAAAGCCACCTAGAACAGCTGCATTTAACTTCTGTGCCTGTTGACTATAAAATGTAAAATTTTGATTAATCCTTTCAGATTTACTTTTTGTTGCTCATCCTAGAATACTTAATCCATATGGGTAATCTAGGCACACCTAGAAGACATACAATTACTACAGTTTAGAAGCATATAAAGTTTAATTAACATTTAAGCAGACTTAACATTTGCAGCTATTTAAAAATATGGTGTAGAGTTCGTAATGTAATAATGAGAAACAAATTTTGATCAGCAATAACTTTTACAAATGAAGACCTGGAGCAACTTCCAACCTTACATTAATAATTAGGACTATCCAAACTAAGTAACGGAAACAGTCTTCTTACTGCACCGAGGGACTGCAACGTGTGCAACAACTTCACGTGAAAAGGCAGTAAGGATGGAAACCTTGGTTTGGGAACTGAGTTCAGTCAGGGGCAACACTGGAATTAAATTGGCTCTCTCAGCTCACACTACTAGACCGTTGGAGAACAGGTAAATAGAAATATTACACAAGCTACCTGAATTTCTCCCTCCCGCTAACCTCCCATCTTAAACATTATAGTAAAAGAAAAATTTCTTCACAGGTGGTGGATTTGGATTGTATTTGTTTCACTGAAGCCAATAGTTTAAAAGGGATTCAAAAATCAGATTAAATCTTCAGTGCTTCCAGTGAATAACAGCCATTAAAATCATTACAAGCTTGCATACTGGCATTATGTTCATAGATTAAACTAATGGGCTGTTGGTTTGGTGGATTTTCATAACTATATAAGTTATCTCAGACAGCTCCCTGGTTGAACAATGGGCAGGTACTATACAGCTATAAGATGGTCACCTGAGAGAAACTAGATGCAGGTCTATGCTCAAACAAAAATAGTAAGAAGCAAAGGTACTTTAAAAAGCAAATGACAAAGGTATGTCTATTAAAATCAGTACTGCTACTAATTAACTGATTTTGCAAACTCCTTTAGGTTAAGGCTTTTACAGCCAAATTATAATTCTCAGTGAATTATTTTTTTAAACCAGTTAAAAACTATGAATACCTATCAAAATTAAACATTCTACACAGTTGGCTCATTAAGTTTATAACAACCAAAAGTGATTTTCCTATGCTCGGAGCCTCTTGCCCCAATTCCAATGTCAAAATACAAGAGCTGGAGCACACATGAAAACCTGGGAGGCGGAGGGAAGGAAATCACACTAACAAAGCACATTAATAGTCAGACATCACATGAAACCCAAACAAAACACTGACTAAATACTGAATCCAGCTGTGTCCAGTTGTTGGGTTTAGGTTTTATGTTAAAAAGAAACTGTTTTAAGCTGAAACCTATTACCAGCTGATCTTTATCTAAAAGATATCCTTATTGCCACCTCACCCCACCCTCTCACTGAACATTTTATTTCTCATTTTCCCACTCCTCTCTAGTGTGAGATGGGTATGTCTTCACTGCAGTTACTCCAAGTGATCGTAAACCAGGGTGTGAGCACACAGGTTAGCCTAGTCTGGGTCCGAGCAGTTATACTGCAAAGCGCTACCCAAGTTATTATGTTTTTACTGGTACAGCATTCCCCCGTGTCTCTTGTTAGGACTTCTGGGAGCATATCCCATGGTTCTATGCAATGCAATGCAATAAGCTGAGCTATCCAATGAATTGTGGGAGAATGTGGTCCCTTCTGGGCACACAAGGGGAACCGTGGACAGTCACTGCCGGACTATCACCACGCAAGTGCTTTAGCCTGCATCCTTACTGAACAGTGAACATGTTACCAGCCCAAGTGAAAGCCACCAGGTTCTAACCCACAACCCCTCATAAGCTAGCTAGCATGGGTTGAAAGCATCACTACACTCAAGAGCGAGCACTGGTTCTCAAACTTTTGTACTGGTGACCCCTTTCACACAACAAACCTCTGATTGTGACCCCCCCCCCCATAAATTAAAAACATTTTTTTATATTTAAACACTATTATAAATGATGGCGGTGAAGTGGAGTTTGGGGTGGAGGCTGACAGCTTGCAACCCCCATGTAATAACCTCATGACCCCCTGAGAGGTCAGAGCCCCCAGTTTGAGAACCCCTGGGTAAGAGGTTGGAGTGTGTGGATGGGAAGGGAAATTAGGGCAATACCTGTTAAACAGTTCAGAGTAACACTGTAGTGAAGACATACCCTAAGAAAAGACAAATCAACTGAGGCAATGCAACTGTCACAAGATGATGGACTTATTTCACAAAGCTATGGCTACAGTGATCATTATTAAGTTACCACAGTGGTATCTGAGGTTCCAGAGTTTTCCCCTGTACTATTACTTAAAAGTAGAAACAACTGTGATAACTGAGTGTGTATATATATCTTGTCAGTAGAACAAGGTGGTACGATAATATCTTTTACTGGACCAACTTCTGTTGGTGATAGAGAGAAGCTTTCAAGCTACACAGAGCTCTTCCTCAGGTCTATAAAAGATACTCAGTGTCACAGCTAGATACAAGGTCAAACAGATAGAATATGTGCTAACTACTTATGCTAAATTATCTATTTGACCTGGTACTTAGCTGTGACATTAAGTACCTTTTATAGACTTGAGGAAGAGCTCTGTGTAGCTTGAAAGCTTGCTTCTCTCTCTCTCTCTCTCTCTCTCTCTCCCTCTCCCTCTCCCTCTCCCTCTCCCTCTCCCTCCCTCCCTCTCTCCAACAGAAGTTGGTCCAATAAAAGATATTACTTCACCCCCTTGTTCCTTTAGTATCCTGCAACCCACACAGCTACAACAACTCTGGACACAAGAAAAATGTTGACTTTCTAGATTTGTGATCTCTGTATGCTCAAACTTTCCTCTAAATTCAACTTAAAATACAAGGACAGAATTATAAAATCATCATGAGAATGGTGAAGTGAGGGTTACTTAAATCCCTGCTGCCATGTTTTAAAGAGAACCATTTCCTCTTATATCAGTACTTAAGAAATGTATTGTATGAGAAACTATACTAGAGACAATGGTGAAGAAGCAGAGTACACACTTATTCTGAAAAGGTTTGGCATTTATTCTTTCAACTGACTCATGGTGCACCAACTAAAGACAGCTATGCAAACCAAGTCAGAGTAACCCATCTGAGTCTCAAGTGGTGCAAAGTCTTCAAGGCTTTCATCTTTCACTGAATCATGAATAGCTGTTTTTATTAACTACACATCTTAAATCTGACAGGAATAAAGCAAAGACAAGGAAGCAGGCACCCTTTTTGCCCAAGTATTACTGGCAACATGGTGAAAGGCGATGGATCACTTGATGATTACCTGTTCTTTTCATTCCCTCTGGGGCACCTGGCATTGGCCACTGTCGGAAGACAGGATACTGGGTTAGATGGACCTTTAGTCTGACCCAGTATGGCTGTTCTTATGAAAGACATCAAGATAAATAAATCTCTTTTTAGGCGTATGTCTAGGGATAGGCTTAACATCCTTTCTTCTCACCATGTCTCCCCCTACTCAACAATCACAGAAATCAAAGAGTTCATTAATTCAGAATCCATCCTATCATAAGTTCATCATGCTCCGTCACTGACAGCAGCATTGCTC